TTTCTCTGCAACCACTCAGTCAAAAGAATATTTCAGTATCTAGCTTAGGAGGCATAGGTCTGGCTGACAGGATTTTTAAGAACAGAGTTGGGGGGAAACTAGGGATGAGAGCCACTATTCAGCATACAGACTTTTACTCGGCTTCCTGTAAGGACTGTGCTTCACTTCCACTTTGCAAAACACCTTATTCCTCCAAGTTCCCAGCATCTCCTCCTTAAGTCAATGGGCTTCTACCTTGCCAAATTATATCCATCTTGTAGGTTTATAACTTTATACCTTTGTTTTTTTTCAATGGGTTTTTTGGAAAGGTGATGAATGCACACGATCAGCTCACTAAGGATTTAACTCATTAAATCCTTACAGGATCTAATTTTCTTAGTTTTTTTTTTTAATCTCATTCCTTGCTTCTGAGTTCCATTTCCCTCTCACTGAAGTATATCCATCAGAGTTTAGGTGTATGAGAGAAAAACTCCCCATTTTTGCCACTTTCTCTAACAGCCTGATGGTCTATTATAAGGTGAATATCTTTGTGATCAGTTCCCAACAGAAGCCTGTTTGCCTGCTGTGTCTCAGTCACAAACTGCTCCCTCCTCCCTCCCTCAAAAGTAATCACCACCCTGACTTTGATGGCCATCATATTTCTGTATTTCTTTAAGTGTATACATAGACATTATAATTTAGCCTTGCTCTTTTTTTAATTTGATGTCTTTTAAGCCTCCTTTAATCTAATGATCCTCTTCATTTCTTTCTTTTTCTTACAATTCATCTATTGAAGAATGCAGCTATCTGACTTGTATGGTTCCTCATAGTCTGCATTTTACAGATTCCACACTCACGGTGTATTTCAACATGGAAAGTTTAATTCAGCAGCTGGATCCAGAGACTTGATCAGACTCAGGTTTAATTCCTTTGGTAAGGTTACATATTACTATGAATATAAACATACTTAATGGGTTTCACTCCATTCTAATTATTACCTTTATTGAAACTCACAATGTCACATCTTTGGCCAATGAAAGCCTCTTTAAGTTGTCTCCTAAGTCCTTTGAACATGACCTTCAGTAGTCTTGAATAGTTCTGCTCTCTAGTATTACAAGATATTTCATGTTCATTCTATATATTTCCTGTCCCAGACCTAGAACCACCCATTTCTCCAAGAAGCCCTTGTTTCTTTTCTTTTTAAAAAATTGTCATTCAAGTACAGTTTTCTGCCTTTTCCCCCCCCCCACCTCCCCACCTCCCTCCCCTGTCTCCACCCCCCCAATTATTGTCCATGTGTCCTTTATAATTGTTCCTGCAAACCCTTCACCATTTCCCTGAAATTTCCTCCCCTCTCCCCTCTGGTCACTGTCAGCCTGTTCTCAATTTCAGTGTCTTTGGTTATATTTTGCTTGCTTGTTCATTTTGTTGATTAGGTTCCTGTTAAAGATGAGATCATATGGTATTTGTCTTTCATCGCCTGGCTTATTTCACTTAGCATAATGCTTTCCAGTTCCATCCATGCTGCTGCAAAGGGTAGGAGCTCCTTCTTTCTTTCTGCTGCATAGAATTCCATTGTGCAAATGTACCATAGTGTTTTGATGCATTCATTTACTGATGGGCACTTAGGTTGCTTCCAGCACTTGGCTATTATAAACTGTGCTGCTATGAACATTGGGTTGCATAGGTTCTTTTGGATTGGTGTTGCAGGGATCTTAGAATATAATCCTAGCAGTGGAATTACTAGGTCAAAAGGCAATTCCATTTTTAGTTTTTTTGAGGAAATTCCATACTGTTTTCCAGAGTGGTTGTACCAGTCTACAATCCCACCAACAGTGCACTAGGGTTCCCTTTCCTCCACAACCTCTCCACTTGTTGTTTGTTGCTTTGTTTATGATGGCCATTCTCAATGGCATGAGAACAGACACATAGACCAAAGGAACAGAACAGAGAGCCCAAAAATAAACCCAAGTCTCTACAGTCAATTAATATTCGACAAAGGGGGCAGCAGCATAAAATGGAGTAAAAATTGGATGATTCACTTGGTTATAGCATTCAAGGTTGTCAATAGTTCCCCCCCCCCCCATAATATATATATATTTTTCACTATCTTTGGCATATATTTTTACTTTTGCAAGTTTGGCTTCCTGTTGTTCATTCTCAATGTTCCCAGATACATAGTATGCTCTTTCAGTATGTGGTTTTAAATATGTATATACACATGCATATAAAAATATATGTAAATATATGTATATATATTTCAGGAAAAGTTTTCTTGAATTATAATGTGTTGTATTTGTTCTGTTAGCCAAATTGGTTTTCTTGATCAGAGACTTCTTTATCCATATGTTGCATCTTTTTGCCTATTTCCAATATCTATCATTTCTCTCAAATCATTTTAGTGTCTTTCAATATTTCTTTTTGACTTAAGAAAATCTCACATTCAAATTTTAGTTCTCTTGGGCACCATCTATTGAGTTTGTTTACTCCTGTGTTCCCTCCTAGAATGGTATTCTTTTCTGAAATCATTTTTTATTTTATTTCTATTTGTTTTTCAACTTCTGTTGCTTCATTTCTGAATTTTTTATTCTGTTTGTACTCTTTCATGTCCTATATGATTTTCTTAATATGTTTATAGTTTTTAAGTGACTTTTTTAGTATTCACACTGTGAAAGTTTTGCATTTGTGGTTTGACCCCACTTTCTTGAATTTGGGGTTTGTGGAGTTAACTGTCATCCACAATACTTTTGTTACAAATGTTGTTCCATACATTTTTGGCTTCACTACATACTGTTTTTATGTGGGAATTCATGGATATTCAAACTCATGTACTACCACATTTCCAGAATCCATTCATATTTTGACTCATGAATACTCTCTTTCTATATCCCTGAGACTCTAATCCTTAGCTGAGTATGATCAGAAGGGGTCAAGGTTGATCAGAATATTGTTCAGATTTGTGGTGGTCCATTACACCACATCCTCATTCTTGAGTGATGATTCACTTGGTTATAGCATTCAAGGTTGTCAATAGTTCCCCCTCTGTAATATATGTATTGTTCACTATATTCAGCATATATTTTTACTTTTGCAAGTTTGGCTTCCTGTCTAAATGTCATTTCTTTGTAGACAAGATATATTTTAAATGCTGTTCTTAAGATCATTAAATTTTTCTTTCTCTTAAATTCATCATGATCTATGTTATTTTCTCAGGATTTGATATTTCTTCAATCTAAAGAGTATTCTTTCTTTAATTCAAGAAAATTATTGGCCAGTATTTCTTTGAACTTTGCCTCTCTTCTCTCTCTTGAAATGTCTATTAAATGTAGAAGCTCTGAAATTGTTGGTTATGTAAGGGAAAACAAAATTATTTTTTGCTGAAGCCAGTTAGAATGAAGTTTTCTTATTACAGAAACAGAAACACTCTTAACTTTTCTCAAAGGCAAAGTCAGTGAGGAAAAAAAGAAGTGACTCCTGAAGTTATCGTTTGATTATCTGTAACTAGATTTCCTTTAAACCTAAACTACTCCTGTTCTTTTTAGTTATCCAAGTCAGCAAAAAATTCACTTACAATTTTCTCTGTTAAATCAGTTGCAATTGGGTTTCTGACAATTGCAACCAGTAATCCTGATTACCTCTCTGCTATGTGGGTGGCACTGTGCTAGCTATTATATAATCAGTGTTATTCAAAACAAAGTCCATGTCTTCAATAAGCACAGTATTTCACACTCGTTCCATGCCATCTTCATTTCTTTGTTTCTGCTTCTCCTGTGTCTGCAACCCAAACTTGGAATGCTTTTTTGATTAAACATTACATCTGCCTCACAGTTGACTTTAAAACCAAACTTGTAAGTGTAAACTTTCTAGCTAAAGGCTACCATGATCTTTCCTTACTTTGAATTCATATTATACTCATATTGTCTTAAATAGGTATTCAAACGGTTCATCAAAGTCCTTCTCTTTAACCAAATCATTTTTTTTAATTTTAATTGTTCCAGTTTTCTGCCTTTTACTCCCATCCCAACCCCCAGCCCCAAATCATTAGTTTGTTAAGAGCAAAAGTTTACACCTTTTACTTTTATTTCTCCCAAAGAAAAGTCAATAGGGATGCGACCTTATTGCATCCTTATTAACAAGTATACACACAATACTTGGCCCTTGTACGTCTTCTGTATAGTACATATATATGGCTATCAAAAAACTTAAGGACATAGAAAAGTATATTAAAATACAAATATACAGATCCAAGGTGCTGTATATAAAAAGGTCTGTCCAGAAGGTACCCATATAACACAAAAAATAGAGACATTTATTGAAGAAGATACGAGATACAAGAAACATTGTACATAGGACAATGATGCCTCAGTCCCTTTCAAAGGAGGCTTCTTGGGACCTCTCACACAGTTCTCCCAATATCATCAGCTGCCCTGTCTTACCTTCCTGAATCTCATCAACTGTCTGAAATAATCCCTCTTCCCTTCTCCTACAATCAAAATCTCTGCAGTTGAGCCACTCTCTTGACGTTTCAGCTTAGTTTGCTTATTAATTTCTTAACCTCTTAAAGGCATATATCTTGTATCACCTTGAGTACAAATGGCCAAGCACTAGTTAATTGGAACAAAAGCAAGGAGGAAATAAGTAACAAGTTTTGTGCCCAGAGAGCAAAACAAACGAGCCTCGGTAATAGAAAAAGCGACGCCGATTCCTGGGAGCTTTCTAGGAAATTCTCTTCCAGCACAAGCAGCTTCTCCTGAGTCCAGGCTCCTGTGGGTTTAGATTATCTAAAGCCGCCCCTGTGCCTTGCACTTGATTAAGCCTTTAGGGGGTGGGGGTTTGAGGGATCAGTAATTGTCTGGGGCCAACAAACTATAAATCAAGGACTGGGGGCGGAGAAGCCCCTAATCTCCAAAGCCTGCGCCGGGTCCACAGCCCCACCACCCGTGTTCCCTCTCCCTGCGACCGCGCTCCGCCCAGGGGCAGACTACGCTGTACAGGGGCGGGGTTTCCGCTTCCGGTGGCAGATTGTTGACGCCTGTGGCTGCTGCGGTGGCTACTGGACCGTTGGGGAGGGACGAGTAGGGACGGGAGGAGGCGCAGTGACCAGACAGCGGAGGGTGCTGCTGAGGCGAAAATGGCAGAGGGGCCGGAGGAGGCCCGAGGCCGCCCTCCCGGGCAGGACGACGGCGGAGGAGACCACGAACCGGTCCCATCCCTCAGAGGCCCTCCTGCCGCCGCCGCCCCACGCCCCCAAGACGCACCTCAGGCCGAACCTCAGGCCCCGGGCCTCCCGCCGCAGAGGGCGGCGGCGGCGGCGGAGGAGGAGTTGGAGCCGCAAAACGAACCCGGGAGTCGCGCGGAGGTGGCGCCCTACTGCGGCGCGGGGTTGCAGGGGTCGGCGGGCTGCGAGGCGCCCGAGTCCGGGTCGCCGCCGGAGAAACCAGCGCGGCTGAGCGCTCGCGAGTACTCCCGGCAGGTGCACGAATGGCTGTGGCAGTCTTACTGTGGCTACCTCACCTGGCACAGCTGCCTGGCAACCTTCCCAGCCTATTGCAGCCCTCAGCCGCCCCCGCCCAGCTACCCCTCGGGCGGAGGGGCCGCCCCCCAGGCCGCGGCGCCGCTGCCCCTCCATCTGGGCTATTACAACCCCTTCTACTTCCTGACCGCCGGAACTGCCGGGCCTGACCCGGGGGCGGCTCCCGGCATCGGCACTCCTGCTCCAGTCGCTGGCCAGGGGCCCCGGGCTCCTCACGTTCAGGGGCCTGTCCGGACAACCCCAGCAACGAGGGTGGGATCCGCCGCCCCTTCTCGAACGCCGAGCGACACCGGGCGCCAGGCAGGTGAGAAGTGCTAGCAAGCGGTTGGGCAGAGCAGAAGGGTCTTGAGATAACTACAGGGGAGGTGGAGTAGGCTCGCTTTTCACACGTGTAATTGCTGCTGCTCCTCCGATTGATGTTCGTGTGCTTCAGCTACAGTTTGCCCAGGCCTTAAATTCCCAAAGTGTACACAGAGGCTGTATAGTTTCTTCTTCATTTGGACCTGGCACTAGTCGTTCCACGTGTAAAGAAATCTCTGCTCCTCAAACCATCCTCTTCATCTCACGCTCTGGAGAATGAGATTCAAAGCTTAATTCTCGGAGGGACAAACGTGCTTGGGGGTGGGGGTGGGTGTCGGGGGATTAACGGGTAATGCTGGAAATAATCCAGTCGTAGATTTATTTTATATTTTCTATACATTATAGAATATATGGTAATACAGAATTAACAGTTCTGTATTGCCTTTCTATTAAGGACAATGGAACTGATGGACATAAAAGGAGATTTACATGAATAAAAATGGAGCTATGAACCTTTGGGCCTAGCTGAATGACCTTTATATTGTCTGTTTGCTTCTGTAGAAGAATTAGAATAATTTGCCTTAGTTACACTTTTATAGTTTATCATTTAGTTTATTCAGCCACAGATATATGGGACAAGTTTCTGAATTTGATCCCATTCAGAATTCAGTATGACACATTGATGTATTACTACAAAGAAAGCAAGACAAACTGAGTTAAGAGGTAAAATGAACACAGGGATTTACTTTGTGCTGATTGTCTATGTTTAACCCTAATTTTTACTAAAAATATATAATTTAGTGTCATAGGCTTGTGATTACCTCAGTCCTTTTGAGTCCCTAGTAAAATGTATTGAGTACCTTAAATTATTAAATTTACCTGTGAAGTCATTTTTTAAACATTGAGGTGAAAGCAAACTGTAAACTCTTCATAAATAGTGGAATTGTGTTGCTGTATTTTAATGTACTGTGGGTGGAGTCAATGCCAAGGTTTTGCAAGGTTGTGCGTGTGTGTGTTATTAGCAAGTTGTACCTTGACTTTACATTCTCCATTTGTTTACCCAGCTTGGGTTCCAAGGCCTATGTGAAATGATTCGTTTTCCTAACTTTTCTGTTTTAATTTACAGGCAGAGAGTATGTTATTCCATCCTTGGCCCACAGATTTATGGCAGAGATGGTGGATTTCCTTATTCTCTTTTTTATAAAAGCAACCATTGTCTTAAGCATTATGCACCTCAGTGGAATAAAGTAAGTTAAGACTATGCGCAGAAAGTTTATTAAAACCTGCTGTCTAGGAATCTTATTGAGTTCTATTTATGCATGCAAGTGATCGTATGGGCAATCAGCTTGCCAGTGTCATGACTTTTTTTATAGGAGCTTTGTGAGATTTGTTTTCTGTTAGTTTTAAGAAATAACTACAAAAAAGAGAATAATACGTAATAAATTCTGGGAGAGCTGTGGAAATCTCACCCATCAAAAATAGGTAAAAGGAGCTCCCAAGCCTGGTTTGATTTTATTCAACTATTTTCTCAGGCAGAACTCATTTCCCTCTTCCTACCTATAAAGAGCTTTTGGTGGATGAACTATGTTAACCAGCTAGATGGCATTTCCAAATGGGATTGCTTATTTTATCAGGGAAGTCCCAAGCGAACTGTGGAGTGTGCTATTTATTTGAATAACCCACCTTTCGTATTAATAATCATAGTAGTAATTACCACTTGCTAAATACCTTCTACATGCTAGGCGTTGAGCTCACCTCTTTATATGGATTCTTAATCTTACACCATTATGAGCTGTAGAAGTTAATGCCTCCATTTTTGTAGAGATTGAAATTTGGGTTTACAAGAAGCCCAGAATTTACAAATTTGTTAAGATAAGTGACAGACACAAACCCTTGTAGTCAAATTTCAGGGCTCATGCCAGGAACTTGGTGATACTGTGATACCTTCCTGTCTCTTCATTGATTACTCTCTTACATGTCCAAGTACCAACTCCTTTCTGTTGAGTCTCCTGAATACCCTTCAACCCAGAACATTTTTTTATCACTCTTTCTACTTCAGTGACTGTCATCTGTTGCCTGGATCATAGCACAAGTTTTCTAACTGGTATCTCAGTCTCCTGTTTTATCTCAATCTGGTCTCTGATGTACAACCAAAGAGATGATAAATTGATTCTGCTCCTTTCCTGCCTTAAAGCCCTTCCTACAGTGCTTTCTCATTGTCATCAGGATACAGTCTTGTCTTCGTATGGTTTAACTTTAAGATACCCTTATTTCTTAATCACTGTTACCTCTTATACTTAATATTTGAGCCATCCCAAACTGCATATACCTTCCATCAGTCTTGCTCCAAGGCCTTCTCCCTTATTAGTCTGGCTAATTTCTGTCATCCTTCAGATCTCAGCTTAAATGCTATTTCTGGGAAGCTTCACAAGTTAAATGTACCTGGTATGTGTTTCAATAGTCCACTATGGTTTTCTGTCACACCTCTTATCTCACTTTATTATTATTTACTGTTCTGCCTCCATGCTTGGTTAGAATCCCCATGAAGGCAGACACCATGTTGAATTCACTCACCATTACATCCCCAGGGCTTGGACAGTGCCTGCTCATGATAGTGCTGCCTGTTTCTTGAATAAGCTAATGTTTTGTGAAACTAGATGGTTGGAAACCTAATGATTAGTTTAGAATTTCAATAAAAGTTTATGACTAACACTAATAGAAAACAAGTCAATGCAACTCATCTGATAACTAATTCTTTATAACCCAAAACTATTATTTTGTGTAGGGATATCTCTAAGTTTGCTATGCATTATATAATAGAAGAAATAGATGAAGACACATCAATGGAAGACTTGCAGAAAATGATGGTTGTGGCTCTTATATACAGATTATTAGTTTGTTTCTATGAGGTAAGCTACTGACTTCAGCAAATATTAGATACTTAACTATCTAATTTTAGATTATCAGTCCAAGGGAAAAAATGGAAATTTACAGTTATTCATGTATTTGTCAAATGTCTCTATTTTTCCAAATATTTTTAGCATAAAACTTTTCAAATTAAAAAAAAACCTCTCTGAATGGAGACATTTTATAATTTCTTTGTACTGTATTTCTGTCCCATGGTCCAAAATGTACTTGTAAATTAGTTGTGGAACTTGAAGTATATTTTTCCATAGAAACAACTGGATCATCAAGAAACATTAAACAACTGGGTATTGAAGATGTTCTCTTAACATCTTAAGAATATGCACTGAAAGGTCAACCTTTGAGTATTCTGTGAAATTCTTTCAAGTTAAAATTTTGAAAACATCAATAATATGGTAGAAAAACTTACTTTTAAAATTAGTTGGTTGAATCCTGGCTGGGTAGCTAGGGTTGGTTAGAGCATCCTCCTGATATGCCAAGGTTGGGGATTCAATCCCCAGTCAGGGCACATATGAGAAACAACCAATGAATGGGTAAATAAGTGGAACGACAAATCGATGTTTGTCTCTCCCTTCCTCTCTCTCTCTAAAAATCAATAAAAAATAAATAAAATTGGTATGTTTGAGCTAGTAAATTTCTAAATTATCCTTCTTTCCTTAGATAATTTGCATTTGGGGAGCAGGTGGAGCTACCCCAGGAAAGTTTCTGCTGGGGCTTCGAGTTGTAACATGTGATACATCAGTGCTTATTGCACCAAGTCGGGTTTTAGTGATTCCTTCCTCAAATGTTAGCATTACAACGTAAGTTCTTATCTTGTTCTACTGTGTACTTCCAAATATTATAGCCTTTTAGTTGTCAATATTGTTCATAAGATACCCTTTAATATAGTATTTTTAGGATGTTGGTATTTTTTCTCCATGGCATACTGTAAATGGCTTACATTAAAACAAAGTTTATGAGTGTTTTTTCAATTATATGATTGTAGACCCTTCTTCAGTATACATTTTCAAGAGAATCATTTGATGAAATACAAGTCACAATAATGAAAGGATGATTGGGTGTCGATGATATGGCAGTGCTTCTTGCCTTGCTTAGCTTTTTTATTCTCTAGACCTGTGGATATTGGGTCAGGTACTGATCTGCCTTGAGCCTTCACTTGGTAATACCTGTCATCATACCATCTTGAATAGGTAGTAAGAATTTTGGTAACAATGCATGCATGCATGCATGCGTGCATCCTGCTTGTAATACTCCCAGTACTCATGGTTAGCTATTGGCATCTGCTTCTGGGGGGAAGGTATAAAGGGTGATAATGGAAGTTGTGAAGGTGAGTAGGTGGTAATCATTTGAGCAAAACAAGATACTGGCTGGAATTGCTGCCCAAATGATTCAGAGTTGGATTGTAACTAACATTACCCCTATAAAAAGAGGTAATGATACCTTATAAAACAGGTATCATTACCCCCGTTTTTATGGATGTGGAACACAACTTGTGATTGCTAGGAAATAGGTCTGAAACCAACTATCTGGCTCCAGAGCCCATCTTAGCCATTGTGCTTTTTCTACAGCCTTTGAGTATACTAAAAGGCAAAAATGTTAATATTTGTAGGATAATTTTCCATTCTAAGCTATTGTTGAAAGTTTTCTCTTTTTTAAGTTTTTTAATCAAATCACAAGATCCCACAATGAAAGAGAGCTGATAAAAGTTTTAACACAGTAATTTAAAATGCCAGTGCTGCCCTGGCCAGTGTGGCTCAGTTGGTTGGAGTGTATTCCTGTAAACCGAAAGGTCTTGAGTTTGATTTCGGGTTAGGGCACTTGCCTGGGTTGCAGGTTCAATCCCCGGTAAGGAAGCATACAAGAGACAACTTCTTTCTCATATTTGTTTTTCTTCCTCCCTCACTTCTTTCCCCTCTAAAATCAGTAAGCATGTCCTTGGGTGAGGGTTAAAAAAATGCTAGTGCTTCATAGAAGATAAAAAACGAGACTGCAGTTGTGTACTCAGTTTAAATACTGAAAACATACAGTAACGAGTGACTATAGAAAAGGTATCTAAAGGGAATGGTTTTCTTCTGGCAAAATACTAGAAAATACTATAAACTTTGGTTTACTTTGTAAGACATTACTGCTTTTCATGTGAAAGCTTCAGTGTTTTATGTTGATGAAGTCTTTAGAACTAGCTGAGATAGTATGATCATATATTTGACAGTAACTCAGATATCAATGGTAAAATTCAGCTATACTTTGAATGTTTTAAATACATATTTTGAACTTGATAGTCATCTATATGTGATGTGTATACCATTTATCTGATTTTTTTTTTGCTTTATTTTTTTATTCTTAGGTCCACTATACGAGCTTTGATCAAGAATTTTTCTATTGCTTCTTTTTTCCCTGCTTTCATCACACTGCTCTTTTTCCAGCATAATCGAACAGCCTATGACATTGTAGCAGGAACCATTGTGGTAAAAAGAAATGGGGTCAGATGATGCCCCCCCAAAGCCCTGAATTCCATACTTTCTGGAATAATGACAGGACTAAATTACGAATCAAGGCCACCAGTATCCCTGAGTTACATTAATTGATAAATTAGAAATTAAAGCAGTCGCTCCAGTGTGATACCGGTGACTATTCTGAAAGTATTGATTTTACTTGGATGCCAAGAACTTTTCCAGAAGAAAAACCTGTTGAATTCAAGTGTTAAAATTTTAGATCAAAAAGAAAGCAAGTGGTTTCCTAATCAACAGTGGACAGTGTATACTAAAATCTAAGGCATTAGAATTTGCTGAAAGCATTTTCAGCTTTGAAATCTCCAAATGAAACTTTAAAAATTTATTTTGGTTTATCCCAAAATGATGGAAGATGTCCAGTTGTGTTTTGTAAACACATTATTCATCTTTTAGTTATCACTTCTTGGGGAAATTGTCTTTGCTTTTGGGGGGTAGGGGCGGGAAGTGAGGACACAAATTTGATAAGCCACTTACCTCCTATTGCTGGAGGTGGTGAGGTAGCTGCCAGAGAAGGGCAACAAGTGAGGCAGGCCTAGCAGTTCCCTTACATAAAGTTTTAAAATCTGTACTGCAGTATACAACTACTCTTAATGCTTCAACATGTATTTTGGGGCAAGTTGCATGATGATGAAAAAGTATTGTCATATTGTTATATTAACACTGACTTTTTAAAGAAAAGTTAGTGATTACTTTTAATTGCGGGGGCGGTGGCTACTGTAAACTTAAAATTCATGTGCAGGTGTTTTTAGTGCCCTAAACCAAACTATAAATAAGTGAAGAAAAATTACTTCCATCAAACTGTTGCATATTCACTGTAAAACAATATTCCCAGTATGTGCACAGCATGAAGTATTAATGCTTTTCAGTGTTCTGAATATAACTTCTCTTTAAACACAGGATATTTACACACTACTTTCCTTTTACATTTTATATAGCCTCCTATCTTTTGAAACATCAAGTTACACAATCTGAATGTTTCATGATTGACTACTGGTAGCCTGTGAAATATTAGCAGTTTTATCATTATGGATGTTCTGAAACAAGAAAGAGGAGTATTTCAAGGTATTAAGTTCTTTGATTCTGTGAGTGAAAACGTTCTATTTTGGGCCTGCCAGGGATGGTGGTTTGAGGGAAATGTTAAGCGAAGTAACACTGTATTGCCATTTTAATTTATTTTTCTATTGAAACAAAGTTATGGAGTTGCAGGTGTGTTTGTGCTTTTTTTGTTAGATGGCCCAGTTAGTTGTGTTGAGATCTACCTGAACTGTTTTCTTAGATGCTTTCTCCAACTCAGATACCCCCCCCAAAAAAGCAAAAACAAAACACTAAATTATGTTGGATAGTTCATAATTAGATTGTTTAAAAGGGTCAATCTAGGCTTTATTTTTGATGTTAAGTTTATTAGCAAATGTAAGACACATTATCACTGTATCAGTTTTTAAAGGAGGGTTTTCTTTGATATTTAAAACTGAAAATAACTACATTTTATGGCTATAAAAACATTAACAGTATCCTTTTTTATTATAAAGCTTCATAAACCATGTTTTTCAAAATAATTTTATATGAAGTTCAACATCACAGAAAGCCTGTCAGTTAAGTGTGTCAGAGTATTAAACAGATCACTCACTTATAGCCTCTGGGAAAATGTTATGGCCCTTCAATTTATTAGACTAGAAATTAGGAAATGTTACATAAACATACCACTTAGTATACACATACACTATTTTTGCCATTGATTGGGAATTCCAAGTTGAAATGTCCTTCAGTCATGTAACAATGGAATTTATTATTTCCTCTCAGATATTGGATGGTTTGCCATATAGGCTATTTTTATTTATATAGTAAAACAAAGCAAACAAATAGTCCTATTTAACCTGTTACACCTAAAACAGTGCACATCCATGTAGGTTTATTTAGATCCATCTCAGTATTCAAGTTATACTGTATAGCCCTATAAAATATTGTCTGCTTTTACAACAACAACAACAAAAGTCTGTTTCTATTTATGAATTCAGCACTTAGGAAAAGAGATTTTGACTCCTGAATAATTGGGGGATGGGGAAATGACAAAACAATGGGGAAAAGAGGAACCTCCTTTTCTCTTGGAGTTATGGAGAGTGGAGAATCCCTCAGTACTTTTCTACTTAGTATATGTAATTTATAGAAACGCTGATTTTCTGTGTCAAGTATAATTATCATACTGAAGCTCTAGGCGTAAAGCCAGAAAGTTGTCTTCACAGTACAAACATTTGCGACTTTTACAATATAAGCAAATAATGGAACAAAAATTGGGAGTCAAGATGAGTGAGAATACCATTTCAATGAATGTGCTCTAATGTGAACTTTAGGCATCTAGAAAATCTCAGTACCCATTACCAAAGGAAGCCTGAGTGGCTGGCTCACCTTGAGAAAGTCACTAATTCATGGTGGGGCTGGGGAAGGTTAAGTGTGAGTGATGGCAAGCTTTGCTTTTAGACTAGTCTCTGATCATACAACAGATAAAGCCAACACTTCTTTAGACATTAAGCCTTTATAAAGTGTTGCCCAACTGATACTTATGTAGGACTGGTTCAGAAATTACTTCTTTCTACCTAAATATTTACCTTCCCATTATACCCAAGTATTTAGAATTGGAAAAAATTGTATTATATATGAGGGCCACTTTGTCTATAAAAACAAATCTTCAGTGTCTTGTTTCAAATGGTGGTAAAAATTGTTTTAACTCTAAAGATGTTCCCTGTGTTTCATTGATGCTTATGTATTTCCAGCAAAAGGAAGGTAGAAGTTGAAAATTAAACAATTTGCTACTTGGGGAAAAAAGGGCTTTTTGAAGGGAATAAGGGCATTAAATATTTTCATTCTGTGCCTATCCCAGGCTATTGTTTCTTTTGAAGAATATTTCTAAATAACAGTATTCCTAAAATCTGGCAAGCATTTCAATTATTTGCCATTCTCCACTCACCCACACCCAGTGGTCAGAATCTTTACAATATGTACTTCACTGGGTCAAGTTCCTCATTTCAAACTAAAGGTGTATTTCCTTGCCATCATTATAGTAGGGCTTGACCCATAAACAATATCTCATGCCCTGCCTATAAATAAAGCATTCTATTTTCAATAATTTGTATGCCACCAATTTGTATTCTTTGGTCTCAATAAATACTTGGTCACCAATGATTGTGTTTTGCCTGTGTCTTTGATGTCTGCTTTAGAATCTCCTAAGGGAGCCTTTTCTTTCATATACAGCTTTCTGCCTTCAGGAGAGTGACTATAGCAGTCAACTGGAGTTTTCAGAAATACAGGTCTACCAAAATGCCATATTTTGCTGTGTATAATGCACACTTGTTGCCCAAATTTTTGAGGGAAAAATAAGGATGTGCATACATACATGGGGTAGTACCTGAAATACTTTGTTCTTGTGTTTTCATTATTTGTTACATAAAATTTCTTCTATCATATGTTCAAAAGTAAATGCTAAAATTCCTTTGTAACAAAAAAAGTATAAACAAAAATTTGAATTAAAAAATTAAAAGACCTTTTCCCTGAAAGTTTGGACCAAAAACGTGGGTGCACATTATACATGGCAAACTCTGGTAATTCATCCACTTTTGGGGATGTATTCTTTTAGCAAGTCATTCAAAAGTTACCTCTAGATGATTAAGCTTAATGTCAAACTAATCCTGTCTTTCCTTAAAGCTGTGAACCATCCACCTATTATGCAAGATGTTAAGGATACATACTACACATGAGGAACCAGAAATTCAAGTTTCATAGCTAATAAATGACAGCTGGGCAGTTTAAATTTAGTTCTGGTGTAAGAATTTCCTATTCTAACCTTTACAAATCTAGGGGACAGGATACAAAACAGGTTCTTCAAGGACAAAGATAATGAAGGATAAACTTAAATGTAGCTAAACTGTAGCCTGGTCTGAGTCATGTACACAATGTGCTGGTATTTAGCTCACTGGATCTAGTTTGTGGATCTAGAGTGGACTTATTTTTTAAGTAACTTTTATTTTTAAAGATACTTTTAGGGAAGGGAAGGAGAAAGAGAGGGAGAGAAACATCAATGTGTGGTTGCCTCTGCACACCCCCTATTGGGGACCTGGCCTGCAACCCAGGCATGTGTCCCAACTGGGAATCAAACTGGCGACCCTTTGGTTCACAGGCTGGCAGTCAATCCACTGAGCCACACCAGCCAGGGCCCTAGAGTGGACTTTTAAGTTTATAAACATTGCTCATACATAAGGAAATAAAGGCACTGACATGGTCATACAGTTGGTATATGTAGCTAGACCCAACATACCCATTTCCTCAATTTTACTATATCAAATTTGTCAGTTTTCATTAAACACACAGGCTAACCTTTCTAAAGTTTCCATTGAGTTTCAAACTATATAAATTAGCAGGCCCAGGAAATGACAGTCATGGCTTGCATAATATTTTGGTCAACAGTGGACCACATATACAACAGCTGAAAAAAGTCCATTGCCTAGTGATGTCACAGCTGTCATACTATCATAGTACACAATTCATTACAAGTGCCTATAGTATGTAATACAATAATACGCTGTACAGGTTTGTAGCCAAGGAGCAATAGACTACACCATATAGCCTAGGTGTGGAGTAGGCTATCCCATCTAGGTTGGTGTTAAGTGCACTACATGAGGTTTGCTCAGCGACCAAGTAACCTAACCATATTTCTCAACATATCCCTGGTCAGGCAACGCATGACTGTACTAATAAAATGAAAGCAAATACAAATTCTTCCCAGGCTAAACCATTTAAGGCTTGATTATCAGTTAAAATTAGTCTACCACTTTTATTTCAAATGAAATCTTAACACAATTTCAGGGGAAAATTTGTAACAGTAAGTTTAAAGACAAGTTTTTCCATGGTCTGAATTATACTTTTGCTTGTTTAATGCCTGAAATCATAAATTACTCAAAACAACCTAGCACTTGAAGTGGCAAGTCTTCCAAATGCTTATTTAATGAGCAGATTTTTAGACCCTACCCAGACCCAGTGACTGAATCTGTAATGAGAAGGTCCTAGAATGTACATTTAACCCAGTTATATTGATGTACACTGAGAACTACTGACCCTCTTGTCTGTCGACCAAGTTATATAAACATACCTAACTATTCACCCTTTCCACATAAAGCACTCCTGTGTTCAGAGATTATTTTCAGTTAAAAATAATTCCCCATTGGTCCAGCATGAAAAGTGGGCTAATACTGTTTCCTTTCCATGTTTACCCCTCCTTCCACAAACAGCCCTCAATTTTCACTTGGAGCATATATAACCTTAGCCAGCCCAAGGCTGCTATTACAACCACAGGGAGTGGATCAGAAGTGGGTCTACAGCCTAAGCCAGTCTGATAGGAGATACCTCTACTGAGCTTGCACAGGGACAGGGTGGAAGTTAGAGCAGCTACCATAAATAGACTCCAGAGCTGCCATGAGTAGCCTGCCAATTACAGCCACTGAGATGGAAAAAACACATGTAGAGTCCTGAATACAGCCCTGTATATTTCAGTTTAGGGGACCACAAGAGTTCATTTTTAAGAAAAGCCACTTTAGGGTTTTCAGTCACTTGCTTCTTAAAAAGTTGCTAAGTAAAAGAAAATCTTCCCAGCACATTTCTTAGGAAAAATCCTTCCCGGAATAAAAAGCCTAATGCTCCCATCCAGACTGGCCTAGAGAATGACGAAGAACGAATGCACCTGTGATTTAGTTAGGCACTAACTTCTCCACACTAAACCCACAAATTTCCAGTTTACATCTTCCAACATTCACCATCACTGTTTGCCCCCAAACAGGTCCATGTCAAATGTGCATTACAAATACAAAATTTCTACTCCCAAGCCAGCACTGGATGATGGCTTAAGATATTTTAAGATACATTTTAATTTTAAAAAAATATCTTTTCATTGTAAACACACACCAAAAAGCTAAGCATTTTTAGAGTTCTCAATCTATACTCCAACCAGAAGCTCAGCAAAACACAAGTCAGCACAAAACAACTGTGCATTCAAACTGAAGAATAAAATTACCAGCGTGGGCTGTGAACCAAAGTGTTGCAGGTTCGATTCCCAGTCAGGGTACATGCCTGGGTTGCAGGCCATGACCCCCAGGCAACCGCACACTGATGTTTCTCTATCTCCCTCCCTTCCCTCTCTAAAAATAAATAAAATCTTTAAAAAAAAAAAAGAATAAAATTACCAAATGCTGTCCCACAAGAGATCTTTTATGGACCACAGAAATCTAGTTAAAAAAATGGTAAAATAATCAAAAAAATTACACAAAGATAACATTGAAATTTTTGTGGGCTGCTCAGGCCATATATCTCCAAGAACTCAATCAAAAACCAGTGTCTAGCCCCAGCCAGATAAGCTAAGTTGGCTGGAGTGTTGTCCTGATACACCAAGACTTAGGGTTCGATCCCTGGTCAGGACACATACAAGAAGCAACTAATGAATGCATGGATAAGTGAAACAACAAATCAATATCTCTCTCTCTCTCTCTCTCTCTCTCATCAAATAAAAATTAAAGGGATAAAGGAAAACCAGTACCTAGTCATCTATCAAGGAAGATACAGGTATAGACAGAAATGGTTGTGTGTTTATTCTAACTTTTAAAAGGTAAGCCAATTTACATATATGCAAAGGAGGCATGATTCCTAGTACCAGACAAAAAGCACAGGAACCTTCAATTTGTTATAAATTCAGACATTTCCCCCCTTCACTTAGGAACTATCCAAATCACCTAAAAGCATTCTCTGAAACTTCTCTTCTAGCTAACCATTACTAACCTTTATAAAAAAGGTCCCCTTCCAGAGTTAAAAGAACAAAAAGGATTTCACAATTTTTTATTGATGGCATTTATCCCATGGTTTAACATGTTAATTATACTGTAATAAACATGGCTTTAATATTAAACTTTTCCTTATTATCCAAAGTCACCACAGTCCATTTCAGTAAATATAAAAATATATGCTTAATACTTTGTACAATACTGGTTTTTGGTCCAAACAAAACTGGATCAGAAAAGCCAATAAATTCACTTTAAGAATCCCCAATTTTTTTTAAAGATTTCCAAATGGATTTAGGCAACTTTGAATAATGGGATTTACATAATAAAATCTGAGACAAGACTAAACGAACAACAAAAATTCTAACACAAAATTAAAACTTCAAGTTCACAGATTTATGTTATGCCAAAAAAGTACAGAAACAAAATTGTATTTACACAAGTTTCATAATAAAATAATGAAAAAGGCAAGACAGGTAATAGAATGAAAATATAGAAATAGCATATAATTATTAAGTGGAGAAGGAACTAGATCTAACAAGTCCTTAGCATGGACCATTCTTTAATCAGGCTTCCTCTATCAGAAAATTTTAGTGCACAATACACCCAACTCACTCACTTCACACATACACCAGCACAAACTCAGCATAGAAATCATTCATTTCAATATTCTCTAATCTATACAGAATTCCTCAGATATAATTACAATATTAAATGCGTTCCATAAACGCGTATCAACGCACATAATGGTGCAGACGAAGAGGTTCTATACAAAGCCATTCACTGAGCAGGCTCTATTCCTGAATTCAGCCAGCCTAAGCCAAATCAGTGAATAATTTGCTGGATCATAAAATATTTCTGCTGAAGAATCAGTCACCAGTCTAACTATTAATTGTTTTTGAAAGGGCATGGCGAGAGGTGATGGCGAGGCTTTTGTAAAGAGGAAAATTCCAAAATTAAAGAAGTCCTTAGGCAGGTTTGACTTCAGATAACCCCAGCATGTAGTACAATCCAGTATCTAAAAGCAAGACACCAGCTTTCATTAAAACTTGTGCGAAACACCACTGTGACCTTTATTTCCTGCGTCTAATAGCAGTCTTTATCTTGCGACCAGAAACTGATGTCCCAGAAGAGAACACACTTTTCCCATTTGACCTGTGAAAAATAAAAACTTCAAAATGTGACATGATGCTCAAAATTTTAGAATCATAATATAACTCTAAATGTGACCAGTGACAAGGGGGGAGAAGAAACATGGTTCAAGTCAACATACTTTCTGTTGTACCCCCACACACATACCCCCCCGTGCTATTTTTTTTTAGGCTGTGATTCTCCAAAACTGTTATATGGTAAATCGATGTTAGAAAACATATTTGATTTTACCCGAACTACATTGCACTTTGGTGATTTTGAAAACAAACACATACACTCATTCACGCACTGGCACGCACCCTACCCATGTGAAATTCTCCATTTCAACAAAAAGTTCTCTTACCCCACTGTAAAGGAAGCTGACAGCTGAGTAAATGGAAAGCCCCCTGAACCAGAAGGCTGGGCTGAGGCTGCAGGTGTGCTCGGACTTGCACCAAACGTGAAGACTCCTGATGGATTGTTGTTTGTGAAATTGAAATTTGTGCTGCTGCCAAATTGGAAAACTGAACCTACAATAGTTGAAGCAAAAAAAAAAACAAAACATTAAAGTAAAATGGGTTTTTCTGTAAACGACCCTGACCCTTTAGTGTAAAATATAATAAACGGTTAAGCTCTCTTATGGTCATTTAAAAGAAAATTGAGTATTTTCTCTATTGACACAGAACATACTTGACAACACCTCACAACAAGTGACCCCACTTATTCATGACCAAATAAAAAAGGGCACAATGGACCTCCAGTTAAAGATAGCAAAATTAATAAACAATTTAGCCCACCTTCTTCAAAAATTATGTTAAAATAATAGCAAAGGGCGTTGTACAAAGACTGGGGAGAGGAGACAACAGGCTGACTGGAACTGAAGACTAACCTAGCAGCAAGGAAAACAGATGCAATTCCATTTACCCTAAACATACCCAAAGGGTTTAGGTTTCAGGTACCTCTGGAAGTAAGAATGAAGGTGTAACTTAAAAAAAAAATAAGGATGACAGTCTAAGAACCAGATACCCAGGTTCAGCCCCTCCCCGACACCAAACTTGATAGATGGTCATTTTCCTCTTCTACCTGAGCAGAAAAACAAAGCTTTATTCTCTGGAGAGGGGGCAGGGTCATTCTGCGCTGTTAAAGGCAACAACATTATATTGAAAACAGAAGGATTAAGAGTGCGGTTAGTATATCACGAATATGGAGAACGGCAGCCTTCCTCTGACTCGGCTCCCGGAACACTGGCAATCAGGACAGACTTGCCCTCCAAGCAGAAGACAGGAATGATCTTCTCTGGGGAATCTGAAAGACCTAAACATACTGAAGGCCAGGTCTTCCCAAGTACACAGGGCAGTCAGATAAAACTACAATGAAATTCAAGACCTACAATGCCCTATCCACGTACAAAGAATTATCAAGTGTTATTTAGATGTCCAAAATGATCAGTAGAATGGGAGAAAATATTTGCCAACCTAGTATCTGATAGGGGGCTGATATCCAAAATACATAAGGAACTCCTACAACTCAATAGTCAAAAAAATCCAAATAACCCAATTAAAAAATGAGCAAGAACTTGAACAGACATTTCTCCAAAGATAAAACACAGATGGCCAACAGTTATATGGAAAGATGCTCAACATCAAAGAAAAATGGTTGAATCTGGAGGACATGATGCTAAGTGAAAGAAGGACAAATACTTCATGATTCATTTATCTAAATTATCTAAAATAGTCCAACTCGCAGAAGCTGGGAGGCGAATGGTGGCAGCTGGCGCCAAGGCAGCAGGATGGAGTGGGGGTGGGTTGCTACTCCATGGGTACAAAGTTTCATACAGATGTGTAAGTTTTACAGATCTAGTATACAACATTGTGCCTACAGTAACTGGTACACACCTAATTTTTTAAGAGGGTAAGTCTCATGTTAAATATTCTTACCACAATTTACAAAAAATAAAAACCAAACTATGAGTAGACAGGCAAGAAGCACCAGACATGTGAACAATATATTTCATAGGAAACAGTAATACCAAAACAATAGAGAAAATCAATTTTGAAGAAAACTAAGCAAAAGCTGTAAAAAAAAAAACCCCACAACTAATTGATAATGTCCTCAAGAGATAATAGATGACTTTTCTGAAATAAAAACAGAAGGATATAAAAAAGAAGCATCCACAAAATAAAAAAGAATGCTTAAGAATCAAAAAATAACACTAGTGGAAGTAAAATCGTGAAAGAACAAATAGTAAGCAATTAGTTGAAGAAATATTCTCAGAAAGTACAATGAAGGCAAAACATAGGGGGGAAAAAGGAGACAACAAAGTTCAAAAAGAATGAGGCACAAAATCTTTGAAGAAATAATTCAAGATAATTCCCAAGAATGAAAGTTCACAAAAGGACACATTAAGTCCCTTACACAATCAGTGGATAAAAATGGAACCAGATATAGGAACATTCTTCTGCTAAGTACGAACACTGGAAGCAAAAAGATTCTAGTGAGATTCCAGAAAGAAGAAATAGGTCAAAAAACAAAGATCAAGGAGGACTTCAAGAGCAACTTTGGGAGCCACAAAGTCCACAATGGACAAATGCCTTCAAAATTATCAAAATGATTTCCAATCTAAATATATATTCAAACAAAATCTTACCAAATAGGGGGGCAAAAATGATCCTTCTGGAAATGTAACGTCTCAAAATATTCTTCCCTAAATCCTTAAGAAGTCACGGGAATGTTTGCTCTATCAAAACAAGGAAGTAGTAAGAGGGAAGAAGACATCACATCCAGGAAAGAGAACTGCCTTTAACAGGAAGCTAAAGGGAATCTCCAAGATAACTGGTAAAAAGGATCGCCAAGACCCCATTTAAACAGCAAGCCTTTGTAGAAAGCCTGGTGGGAGGAATAGTTTGGAAAATTCTGAGAGAAACTTCTTTCAGATGCTGAAGCAGCCAATGTATTTGAAGACATTGAGAAGAGATCTATGTAAATGGGAGAAAAGTTAGTTATAACTAATGATAAGTACAAAGAAAATGTTAACAAAGGGAATTACTACTGCCAGAGGAAACAAAATTTTGTGTAAGAAAAACCACATTACCACATTCTGCATACTCAGAATGCTAATCTAAATATACAGCACCACTGTATGTATTAGAAGGATTGAGGGAAATGTTGCCTGTGTGAAAGACAGCTAAGCTCTCTAATTTCATATATTGTGAGAAAAAATATTAATCAGTAAATCCCAACTAAAATGGTTACCATAAATCAAACTTTGCTGCATGTACTAACTGACAAGGGACTAATATTGAGAAATATTGAGAATATATAAATAACTCTGACAAATCAATAAGTAAAAACAAATGAACCGAATAGAAAAATGGTCCAAAACACTTACAAAAAAGAATGCACAAAAAATAAAATCATGTAGATCCAAATACAGGAACTTTTATAAACAATGCTGGTGTAAAATGTGATTGGCACAATCCACCAGGAAAAGGCTGTATTATCAACTGAAGTATAAGATACGCACACACCCTTTAATTTGGTGATTTCTCTCCCAGGTACATATACTGTGGGAAAAGATACATATGTGCCCAAGGCACATATACAAGAATGTGTAGAGCTGTATTTCCTAATAGCTAAAAACAACTCAAACATTCATCAATAATAGTATATGGAAAAGCTGTAGTATAGTCATTTATTCTACAGCAATGAAAAAACGAAATATATGTAGTAACATGGGTGAAACTTACAAAAAAGAGTAAAAGAAGCAAGAATCAAAAGACTAGCTGCAGTAGGACTCCACTTACCCGTATTTTTCAGACCATAAGATGCATGTAGGTTTTAGAGGAAAATAGGAAAAAAATTTTGAAGCAAAAAATGTGGCAAAATATTTAATAACATAAATAACATAATATTTCACCAATGTAAATATAAACAGAACTCGACAGCAGCATTAACAACCATTATTCCTCCCAAATTGCGGGGGGGCGGGGGGAGAGGGGGCCGCCTTATAGTCTGAAAAATACGTATATACTTAAAACTCAGGTAAAAACTGTATTTCTAGAGAGATGTATGTATTAGTAGTTAACTTTAAATAAAAACCAAGAAAAGTGATTACCCTAAACGTCAAAACACCATTAGAACAAATGAAAGAAGAGAGAAATGTGTTCCAAAAGGGACACAGAAGGGGCTCCTGGGATGTGGTTATATAAGAAGAATTTGCTTTGGCCCTGGCTGGCATAGCTCAGTGAGTGGATTGAGCTCGGGCTGCGAACCAAAGTGTCACAGGTTCGATTCCCAGTCAGGGTACATGCCTGGGTTGCAGGCCATGACCCCCAGCAACCGCACATTGATGTTTCTCTCTCTCCTTCTTCCTCCCTCCCTTCCCTCTCTAAAAAATAAATAAATAAAATCTTAAAAAAAAAAATTTGCTTCAACATTATACTATTCACTTGTATTTCATGCTTCCCTATATGAGGTTATATTTCACAATTAGAAAAATACAGTGCAATTTTGAGAAAATACATCAATTACAAGGTGGGGCAAAAGTACGTTTACAGTTGTGAATACATGAAAGGGTTTTTTTTGTATTATTTATTTATTGTATTATTTTTCTTATGAACAACTTATATTTTCCATATAAACCTACTTTGCCCCACCCTGCATAATACCATGTCATTGACTGTATTTTAAAAAACCACAGAAACCTTTAAATACGCAAGACAAGTGGAAAGGTTTATATCATCAAATGGAAAGTATCAAGAGACAATCAGCTGGAGTGTCCCAGGAAAGAGGACCAGAGCTGGGGTAGAACTTTCTGAAATAAATCTAGTCACAAAGGTTAGAAAACACTACACCTGAAATCTAGGCTAGAATGCCCCAAAATGCAGATGGGGAGGAGAGAGATGGAATGAATCCAACACCTGAATCACAGAGTTAAGATACAACTACATTTTAACCAAATGTTTTAATACCTTAAAGCACCAATTTTCAATCAGTGTGCAGTAAGAATTTTTGAAACTTGCAATACCTGACTAAATAGTCAGGAGCACTGGCCTCTTTTCCCTTAGACTGTCAAACAGAAAAATGACAACAGCCAACCCAACAATAGCAGTTTGGTGTGAATGAATCAAAATTATACCTAGTTGGTTTTTTTTTTTTGTCAGAATAGCAAAAAATATATACTATATATTTTGGTGTGCCACAGAATTTCAGCAGTTTGTGTGTGTTATCAGGTGAAAAAGGTTGAAAATCACTGCCTTAAAGCTTTAACACATTCAAAATGCTTAATGTGCCAAAGCTGGGAATGTGGCTTATAGGTAAAATTAAACACACACCTCTCTATTCTGCTGAGCGTATAGGCCCAATGAATTTAAGACAAAATTAAGACATGTACATTTCAAAGCTCAAAGAAAACAATTACACTTAAGACGTACAGAATCTAAGTACAAATACAAACTACATCACTACTATACACACTCACTGGAATTTGGAGCTGTTCCAGAGCCAAATGCAGACTGACCAGGCTGTTGTCCAAACACAGGAGGCTGGGTACTGCTTGACACTGTCCCAAAAGTAGGTGGTGCAGGCTGAGAACCAGCAGAAAATAATGTTGCTGAAGATGATATAGATCCAAAGCCTGGAGGGTTAGGCTGGCTGGCACCTTGACTCTGTCCAAATGTTGGGGTCTGGTTAGCACCAAATGCTGGACTGGCAGATGGTGCTGAAGGTCCAGTGCCAAACACAAAGGAGCATCCTATAGGCCCAAAGAATTACTTAAATCATCAAGACGGCTACAGATAATCCTCAAGAAATCTCTATGAAGTCAAAGCAAAATTCAAACTCCTTTTTAAACTCTTAGCTTACTGAAAAAATCCCACCAAGTTTTGAAAATGACTATAAGAATACATTGTTTAGTAAAACTATATAAAATCCATAAAAACTAAAACTTCTATTAGTAAGACTCTGCACCTTCACAGGCAAAAAGGTTTTAGGTGAAGGGAATATATCTAAGAAGACAACTGACCTCATCAGAAATTTAACACATTGCAGAAATCAGCTAATGCTATAATCATGTATATGCTACACAATAAGGACTAATGTCTAATAAAATAATCCCTGGTGTCTCACTACTTAACAACTTACATTCCAAAAAGAACACATGGAAAAACTATAAAGGTAACACTCCTGCTGAAATTAGAAAAACTGCTTCCAAGAGTTAGTTATGTTAAATTTAAACACAAGATATACATTATACCACAGGGTGAATAACTACAAAATCCCAAGTATAGATGACATAAAGGCACCCATGCCGTTTTTTGATAAGCTGCTGTATTCTTAAGAGTTGATATACTCCTAACTAAAGCCAATGCAAGTTCATGCATGTTTTTTTTTTCTTTTTTAAAAGTACCTGAAGAACTAGACGTGGTTGTAGCTCCAAAGTTAAAACCAGAGACTGCAGTATTATTATTACCGCTGGCTCCTGGACCAAAGACAAATGGGGTAACAGCTGTACCCGTGCTAGATGTGGTTGCTGGTTTGTTCTCTTGAGAAAACAGCAAAGGCTGAGATGTACTGGATTCAGCAGGGTTACCGAAGGCAGAGCTGCTCACAGGATTGCTGGCCTGTCCAAACACAAAGGCACCCGCCGGTGCGCTGGAGGAAGAGGTGGAACTACCAAATATGCTGCCGCCAGCTGAAGTGGCTGGGGTACTTGAATTAGAGGAATTGTTGTTCAAGAAACTAAAAACTGGCTTTGTTCCACCTTGATCTGTATGATAGAAATTAAGAAACAAACAAAAAAATCTTTAAGAAGAAGTAATAACAGAAAGCATTTTTCCTATCCCACAATCTAAGAAGTCATTAGAAAACAATTTTTTATATAAATTCATTCATCAAATGGGCATATAGTATATTAAATTTTGATGTAGTTAATGTAGTCATCTTTTCTTCTATGGATTTTCTTCTGTCTTACATAGGAAAACCTTCAGCTTGGATTAGAAAATTAAAAATATGCCTTAAATCCAAATCTTACTGGAGAGATACTGTGCTTGGATAATAAATTCAGAGAGTGGAAAGTAACTGCTTTTTCTTTTAGAGAAGGGGAGGGAGAGAGAAAGAGAGGAAGAGAAACATCACTGTGTGGTTGCCTCTCCTGCAATGCCTGCTGGGGACCTGGCCTGCAACCCAGGCATGTGCCCTGACTGGGAATTGAACCAGGGACCCTTTGGTTCACAGGTTAGCACCCAGTCCAGAGCCACACTGGCCAGAGTAGCTACCTGTATTTTTATAAATCTGATTTTGCAGTTTATGTTAGCAGGACTGGAACTTCAATTTATCCAAATGTTAGTTAATTTTCTCTGCAGCATTTATTGACTAGTATATCCTGTGTTCTCTAATTTATAACTATATCTTTATGACATATTAAATTCCAAATATATGTTCATTTGTTTCTTTTACAGTTATTCTTAGACTATTCTAGCTATTGTAGCTTTACTGTCTGGTTTGATACTTAGTAAGGCAAACCTGGCTGTGTACCTGTCATCCTTGCCAAAATTTTTGTGCATTTTCCTTCCAGATGAATTTTAGAAATAGCTTAGCTTGTAAAGACCCACAAAAATTCCTTTAAGAACTGAAATTATATTCAGGGAGGGTATTGGAGGGGAGGGAAATATTATCACTCAGGAACAAGTATTAAATATGTCTTTATTATGTTACCAAATAACAAAGTCTATAGCTATTATAAAATACATATTAGAAATGTCAGAAAATACAAATAAGATATGTTGTCTAAGAGTTGCTATTTGATTAAAGCTATTGATTTTTATATGATGATCCTGAATCTGACCACCTCATTTAAGACTTTTTTTCTTTGAAACTTTTCCAATAATGTCTCAGTTCTACTGCTGTCTACTACACAGGGCTGGCCACACTATGGCATGAGCATTAATATGGTTTACAAAAAATGGACCATTTGCACTCACCTTCAAATCGGTATGTAAGAGGTTATGAGTGTCCATTTCAATGGAAACGATAATATAGAGGTGCCATGATTAAATTTGATTAGAACTTATCTCACTTTTATTCCTTTCCCAATAGTACATAAGTCAGTTTTTATTTTCTTTGAAGGATATTTTTAAATTTCCAAGTAAAAATTTAATGCACAGAAACTACTCACATCTACTTGTTCTATTCATACTATTTTTGTTTCCAATTTATTATTCAAAAACATTCATGGGCACTCAACTTTTAATCCTTTACTTATCTGAAAACATCTGTATTTTACCCTTACGTTTGATGAAATTTGGCTGGTTATAGAATTCTAGGTTCAAAGACCATTTTCACTTTGAGGACACTGCTGCATTTTTAGCATCTGATGTTACAAACTAGAAGTCTAATGCTAATTTGTTAACTGTTTACTTGTGGCAAACAGCTTTTCTCTCTCTGAAAGCATTCAGGATTTTGACTTAGTGTCCTAAAATTTCACTGGTCTTTGTCAATGAGTGGGCCACTTCCATTTTTAAGAGCAATGTCTTTCTTTACAACTAGGAAATTTTCTTTTGTCATTTCTTTGATAGTTCCTTCATACTGCTCTCTCTCATTTCTAAGCACTCTTATCCCAATACAACTTGTGAATCTAGTTCAGATCAATCACTCTATACTTTTGCAGCACTGTGTTCTGAAAAATTCCAGTTCACAAATCTGATTATCAGCTGTGTTTTTTCTGCTATTCAGACCACAGAATGATTGTTTCATCAACCATGTTTTTAACTTTTAAAAGTGCTATTTCATTTTTTTCTTCAGAATTTTAGTTTTCATAGTCATTTCTATTTCTCAGGGATCAATTATATTTGTCTATGTTCCTTACATGGCTGATGACAACTGGTTATCTCTACTTGTGGTTATCTCTATTTGTAATAAAGGCCTACATATAAAGATTTCATTAGTTAAAAAACATTCATGAGCTTAAGAAAGAATGCCTATTTTCCTGAATAGCGTAAGCAAATTCTGATTATAAAGCCCAAACAGAAGGAACAAAGACATGAACAACTGTGCAATATTGTGGGCTTTCCATTAGAGCTATATTTCTCAGAATTAGATCCGTAGATAACTTGTCAGAATCATGGGGTTTGGAGCAGTTACAACCAAAAATCCTAGGCTCCTTTCTAGAGAGTTCTGTCACTGGTCTCTCTCACATATATTCAATGTAAACTATTCCTTGACTTACTGTATTTGTCTAGATATCAAAGACTCTCGTAAAAGAAAATGTTTAATATTTACCGGTTGTAGTACTGGTTTGAGATCCAAAAGCAAAAGTGGCCTTGGCTGGCTGTTCAGACTCCTTCTCAGATGGTTTTGCCACACTGAAACTAAAGGTTGACTTGGAAGAACTCTCTTCTTTGGTTTGCTCTGAATTCCCAAAGGAAAACACTGGTTGACACTTTGGCTCTTCACTATCAGCTTTCTTCCCAAACACGAGAGAAGTAGAGGTGACAGGCTCTTGTTGTTTCTCTTCTGTCCTTCCCAAAGCAAACAATGAGGCAGACGGCAGGGGGGCAGGTTCCATAGTGCCAAAAGTGAACCCTCCTTTGGTGGTAGGCATTTCTTCTTTTTTTGCTTCTGACGTCTTACATATAAAAGGAGCCACTGAGACACTCTTGGTGTCTGTAGTCCCAAAGCTGAAGCTGCTCTTGTTCTCAGAGGTCACCACGGTGTTAGCAGCAGCAGGAGTAGAGCTGATTACACCCGTACCAAAACTAAAGCCTGCAGATGAAGACTTAGGCAGTTCCTCTTTCGTTTCTTGCTGCCCAAGACTAGACACCCCAAACTGAAACGGAGCTAAAGAAGTTGGATTGTTTAAACCAGAAGGAAGTCCAATCTTAAAATTATCATCCTTACTGTCCTTTTTAACTTCTTCAGGTTTAAAATCAGATGAAACTCCAAATTTAAAATCCCCTACTGGTTTAGAAAATTTAAAGCCTTCAGTCATGGGATTTAAAGACCCAGAATCTGATGACGCACCTATTTTAAAGCCTCCCTGATCCCCAAATTTAAAATTTCCAGTGCTTGTTAAAGTCTGTGAAGGCTCAGAGGAGGAAGATGGGATACCGAATTTGAAGGATGAGGCTGCTGAGTTCAAAGATGAGGAAGATGTACCAAAGCCTTTAAAATAAAGATACCAAAGAGACACTGAATTAATGTTATTCTCTCAAGGAGATGTAAAGCCTGAAAACCAAAGGCACAAACTTGAAAAAAGGCCTACTCTGAAGAGTATTAGCAACTGCCGTAAACATACACCAAAACTGCCCAAATTTAGTATGAGAACTATATCTCAATCCTCACAACTATATAGACAAGCTACTTTTATCAGACTGGCAGAGCTCAAACAGGTGTGATAAAACAGTGTTTCTAGGAGTAACAAATACTTTATACACTGTAGGTAGGTATGTAAAGTAGCACAAAACTATAAAAGGCATGTTGTCAATATTTACCAAAAAATTATAAATATATATATCCTCTACTCAGCAATTCTATAATTGTGTCTTTATTTTAAAGATAAACTCAAGGACACACAAAACACTACATGCAATCTGGGCAGCTATGAATAAAGAACAAATGTATGTCCAAGCTAATTTGTGATAAAATCAAGGAGGCAGAAAGGCAGGCAGATGGTATATAATCTAACAAGGCAGAGTCAGGAAAGACGGAAAATGAGCCAATGGGGACAAGAGGTAGCAGGCTTTTCACTCTGAATCTTGTCATAACTTGATATGTAGGTCTTATAAATGTGTTATTTACACAAGAATTTTTTTTAATTTAGCATCAAAGAACCAGAAGAATTACATCAGTGGAAACAATATTTAAAAAATAAACAATACTGTATTGACAAGATCGAAGTCTTGGTTTCATAATGCTTCTATAGCAAATAAATTGAAAATGAAGCACTTGGCTGACTGTCTCAAAGCAGTAATCAGGAAAGGGTTCAAGGCATTTATGCATTACTCTTCTTACCCATATGTAAATAAAGACAAATGACAGCCAAGCTTTGCAAGTCCTCATCTTCAGATTTCCCTTTTTAATGATTACCTACCCTACTTTCTTTTCCTAAGAAACATAATTGAAATATTGTATCAGAATCTCAAAGGTAAATGGCTATCCACATGGTCTCTAAGAACTTTAAGTGATATTACACAGAAAGCTAAAAATAAAAGGTGCCCAAAACAGTAATTAGATATCCCCTTTGCTTCAAAGGAACACATTTGTACAAGTAGAGAATATAGAAAAGGGACCATGAAGTATCGGCACAGATGAAACTAAAGTGGACTGGAAAGCGTGATCTTCTAAAAGCTTTTATCAAAGTTTTGACTAGAATATGTCTCATATGAAATATGAAATAATTCCTATAGAAATATAAAGATTTGAAAAATCTGGCCTCCAGGGAGTTTAGCATAAATTACTTTGAAAGGTTCTTTTTTTTTATATTTATATATTTAACAGAGTTATTTTTCTGGGACATACTCTGGGAAATCAAAGTCCAAGTCTAGATTACTTCTGGTAAGTTTCTAGGGCTGTGAATTTCCACTCCAATAAATAAAAGTCAGGAAATTCATCTAGATGTCAAAGGGTTGTTAACAGTTAAAAATAAAAAGCTACAGTCTCAGACTCAATATTCTAAGACAGAATAGCTCCTTTCCCAGCTGCAGAAAAGATACTTCACTGCTGGCCAGTAAATAATCCAACTAATTCAGAGACAGATGGGAACTAAAACTCTAAGACCATACCTCACTTTATGTGAATTTTCAATAGAGAATGAAAAATTTTAAAAACTAAAGTTGTTTGCAAATATTTCACACATTAAAATGGCAATACAAGGAGGCGTTTTACCAATGGCTTACCTTTAAACTCAGACTGTGTGCCTGGCTTGGCACTTTCACATGCCACACATTTGGTGGAATCAGCTTTATTTTGCACTAGGCATACTTCGCAGTCCCAGCTTCCCTCAGGTTTCTTGAACTTGTCCAATCCTAGGCAGCCTCCAGAAGACAGAGAAAGAGGGATGGTGCTGCTACTTGAAGCAGGTACTGAGCTTCCTAAAAAACAATGCAGAAACACACAGAAATTCTAATTTATACTTATGCCATTATCTTAATGACACCACTAAGTCTAAATGCCCAGTTTTTCTTAGTGTTTCCCATTAAGACACAGAAAATGCCAAAAATATAAATCTTCACTATTAAAAACAGAAGAGACATTTTAGATTTCTCTTAATCTTATAAATGAGCAGTTTCACACTCACCTTGCTTAGCAATAAGTGCCCTTTAAGCCCAAGTTTGAGTAGCCATGATTTTTTTAAAAATCATGCTCATAACAGTCTAAAAAACTAAATTTTCCTTAAAAATCTTTGTCCAATTTCTTAAAACAGTACAGCATTATAAAACATAAGATATAAATTGTAGGCAATATCCTAACAAATAAAATACATAGCCACAGACCACATTAAATTCACAATTTCAAAACACAGGTCTCTCTGCCTTTGAAATGATCATTTTTGCACAGATGTCCCCACTTTACAATTCTGTTCAACATCGCCTACTATGTTCACGGCATTTGTTATAAGCTAGCCAGCTGACAGACATTTACTAAACACCATAATGCATTTATATTCTGGGCACACAAAGATGAATAACATGTTGCTTAAGTTCCTGAAGGTGCTCATTGTCTTAAAAGGGAAAAGTAAAATAAATGCACAGTAGTACCATCAACAAAATGAAAAGTGATTAAATGATCTAATACAAGAGTACAAGGAAGGAAGAAGTGACTAAGGGGGCAGGAGAAGGATCCTCAGACATGAGATTTAAATTCTTAAACAGAACTAGAAAGTTCTGTGGGCAGAGGACGTAGCACAGGAAGAATGGCTCACCAAAGCACAGTGTATGAAGAAATACAGGGTGGGGCAGAAGCTGGTTTACAGTTGTTCACATGGAACATAACGTAATAATAAAAGAATAAACTGCTTTGTGTACTCAAAACTGTAAACCTACTTTTACCTCACCCTGTATAGTGTTAAGTGAAGCCATGCACTCTGATACCCATGTCTCTAAATATTCTCCATATGTCATCACTTCTCCCAGTTACCTTGATGTCTGTGTTTTACTGGCATGTTTTCTTCCATCTTGCCAATAAAACTGCACCCTGAGGTTCCACCACTGGGCTGTTGCCCTGCTCACAAATTCTCATCTACTCTGATAGTTTTACTCACCAACAAAACAGTTTCCTGATCTGTGTACCTACGGTCCACACTTCTGAGCTTCATCCCTGTGGATTCTTTCTTAGTTGGTGTTTCCACTATCCACCTGATTAGCTTGAGTAGATGACTCCTCCTCCCTTACATATTTCTCAAATCTTTTTCATTCTTTTCTGACCCTTCTACTGCTTGAATAACAGCTTTCTTAATGAGACTTGTTCTCTTAAATCCATCCTTCCAAGAAGAAACCAGTGCCACGTTTTTCCTCTCTGGGTATTCCTTTAAAAATTAACTTCCAAAAGTGTTATTCCTGCCACTCCCTTAAGTTAGCAGAGCTCATTTTTAGACCGTGTTCTCTATTCACTCCGCTCACTTTCCATCACTTCCACTCCCATGACTTATTAGAAAAATATGGGCTAATGATTCCAAATCTGTATCTTTAGCCTAGAGAGTCCATTATCAGTACACCCAAAAGCCTCACATATATCTGCAAGTCAACTTCAGCAGCTTGAAATTGTCATGTATTCAACAATATATTATTCTACATCCTTCCCATCCTTACTTGATTTCATTAGTACACATCACCATTATGTTTGCCTATATTATTGACACAACTTCTCTAACCTGTCCTCTGGTCTCCAAATTTTGTCGCCTTCCAACCTATCCTTCAAAAAAGCCACCAAGTGATTTATCAAAATATAAATTTGACCGCATCACTCCTCTGCTTGAACTAATGGCTCATTTACAAGATGCAAAGTTCTTTAATACATATGTAAGCTTCCTTTGTTTATCTGTAAAAATTCCCTGCTGGACTCAACACTTTATTCCCCCATTAACTCAGAATTAACTTCCACTTCCTGCAGCAAGGTCTTGTTTCCCTTTTTTAGGGGAGTAGTGGCACAGGTGGAAAGGGAAAGAAATGAAGATTTTGAAATCTTGTTCTCATGGAGATGTCCAGTAGGAATTAGAAATATGGCTCACCCCTTGTGATCAAACAGGGGTTTAGGCTAGTAACTTAAGTTTTTCACTGCAGACATAAAACTACGCAAGTAATTCCCAAGATAGTTACATGTTTTATTTAGTATTCATGTCACCATATTATCTGTACCAAATAATTTTGTAACAGTATTACAAAAACAGCAGAGTCATTTCCAGATGTGAATCTTTATTAACTCTTTAAAATTTGAACAGAGAAACAGGAAAAACCTAAATCTAACTCTATTTTTCTAGCTATCAAAGTTAGAATTTTCACTGATGCTTCAGTAATTCACTACCATTGCAGCATCTCTGGCAGAGAGCATACAGGTACAGGTATCGCCATGAACATCCAGCGACAGCCTTTTCAATAAAGCAATGTTGTCCACCCTTTAATGAAACTTTCCCTGGAAATGACCACTAGCCATCCTCACCTTCTATTTAGAGAAAGAGAGACAAAGCAGTATTTTATTCTGTGTAGAGATTTAAGATTGTCCCATTACCATTCAACATCTGTAACAGTAAACTTGAAAATGATCCTAAAGAGCAAGAAGTTTCTGATAAAAATGCATACAGAGGTCAAAGTATTAACTCACAGCCTATCCTAAGAAAATATACAAATCCAGCCCCAAGCAAGTCATTTTAATCTCAATATAGCTTTAAAAGTTAAGATGTATTAAGAAAATGCTCATCGTGAAACATTTAAAACATTCAGGTTTTTCTTAGAGGTTTTACAAAGAATTAAAATGTTCTACTAACATAATGAGCAAAATTATTCCAAACAGCCATAAACGTACCTGGTTTCTCAGACATACAGGACACACATTTATTGTCTTCTGGATTATTAGGAACACAGCATACTGGACACTCCCAAGATCCCTTGGGCTTTTTGAATTTATCTGCAAATCCTAAGGTACCAGTGGTCACAGTGCAGCTGGAAGATGAAGCAGCCACAGTGACAGCACTTTCTGAAGTCACTGGCAAGGTAAGGACTCGCTTAATACCGGTTCCAGGTTTCGGTGTTTCACAAGCTACACATTTTATCGCTTCTGGTTTATTTTGCACTAAACAGGTATCACAATCCCAAGTTCCTACTGCTGGTTTAAATTTGTCTCCAAAACCTGTCCCTGATGCAGGAAGAGTTGTTTTGCCACTTTTACTTGGTGTCCCAATTCCAGTCTGTTTAGCAGTATCTCTTGGTGGCAATTTTGTCGCTTGACAGGCTGCACACTTGCTGTCTGTTACTCTGTTCTCAAGCAGACAACTATCACACTGCCATGATGATCCGGCTTTTAAACTTTCCCCCAACCCGATTCCACTAGAAGAAAAGCTACTTATTGCCGGTCTTGTATAAACTACTGGGCTTGTGGTGGTAGGATCAGCAGCAAGAGAATCTGGCTTCAGTGATGTGAAACCTACAGGGGTTAGGGCAGGGGTTGAAAAAAAAACGTTAGGGAAGGTTTTCTAATCAAAACACTAACTGAAATATTATTACTGGGAGATAGCATTACCTTATCGCTGAGTTACTACAATCCAAGATGGAGCACTTCAGAGGTGATTTTCACCAAAGCACTATTTATTAATTGCATAAATAAATGACACCTAGTTAACATTCTAGAAAGGATGCTTTATAATATATCACCTTCTTCCTCTCAGACTTTCTAGTTATTATAATTCAAACAATACCTAACTTAAGGCTTTAGTTATAGTCATCCACTCATCTACACTATTGTCATCAATGTCTTACTACACTCCACATTCCTGCGACAATGACCGACAGTATATTCATAGTCTTCTTCCCCATCTGTCTCTTTCAGGTGTTCTCTTGGCTATAATGACTTCAATATCTATAATTTTTAAATTCGATCCAGTCATAACCCACTACTGTGATATCCTCTACTTTTGGTAAAAACCAGCTGAACTGTATAGGTATGGTCATTGGGCAGATGTCCCTCCAAAGTACAACAGAATGGTAAGAATTATTTTTAATTACACTAAACTCATACAGAGCTTTAAAACAGCAATAGTTCAATGACAAATATGATAAACTACAATAGAGATACAACAAATCTGGTAAGGCCTAGAAGTACAAAAATTACTCAGTCAATCCTAATGGTGTACAGGCTCATGCTACTCAAATACAGGCCCGCGCAAAGTTATACAAACACAAATTCAAACAAAATTGCTTCAAATATCTCTCAGATGTAATCTCAGTTCCTTTCACATTGTAAGTATACCTTTTTATAACCACTGAAGGTGTATCGAGACAACGAAGGTATTCAAGTAGAAGCACAGAATAATACAGGAGGAAAAAGTCCGTGTGCTACCCAAACTGCTGCCATGGAACTGATTCACTGAAAGTACACTTTATTTGTGGAAATGTTTCAATCCTTTACTCTGGACCAATTAATTTTTATTTTATTCACACCAACAAACTCAGTGACCTGTTTCTCTAGCCTTAAGCATCAAAGGAAAAGAAAATCAAAAGGGAATAAGGTAACTGAAAGTTGTTAGATTTTTCTAGTGCTGCCAAGAAATAACTCAGCCTAAAACTATTTTTAGCTAAGAGCCAAAAAATCCTACATAGCTGTTATTGCCAGTGGTCAACATGTTGTTAATGATTAATTTAAGTCACTAAGATTGACGAAAGTATCACCGATTTCTATTCCTTCCACTTTTTTGAATTTTCGTAATTTCTCATTCAGAAGAACATATATATGATCTCCAAATTTTTGCTACTAAAAAGAAGTTAAAGGGGGGAGATGTAGGCATTTTGAATGTATAGTATAACTTACATGAAGATAAACTATATAAATTTGATGCTTACCTACTACTTGGTTAATTCTAGTACAGGAATTCTGGAGTTCTGCCATAACTGAATAAACTCATCTAAATTACTGAAAGCTCAACCAAAAAAAACCTAACCCTTCTAAATCTTGCAGAAGCCAACCTTATTTTCAAATCCCCATTCAATTATACATGAACACTTCTGCTGAGTCTAAATTATTTCTGAGCTACTAGATTACCTTAAAAACATCTTTACATTCTTATCATACACATCACAATTGAACTTGTGACTATTTTCTTTGATGGTCAAACTGAAAACTTATTCCTATTTGAAGATTTCCAGTTACTGCCTTCAATTATTACCTGATTTCTAGTCACTGCCTTCAATTATTACCTACTAGTTTTCGTATCTTGTGTTAAGTGAGACTGTCTCTTACATACATTCGAATCAGCAAATGTTTGCTGGCCTTGTTATACATACATCACAACTGGGGAATAATCTGAGAAGAACAAGGCAGTTTCAAAACTCTGGTGAGAAAGACATGCTCACGTATATCATGAAGTTCATTTACTTTTATTCAATGTTGGCCTACCTCTATTAACAAGAATTCATTTTCTCCTTCTATACTTGCCATTTAAAAATCTCACTTTAGTATGAAGTCCTTGAATTCTAAAGAAATAAGTAGAGTTTCTAAAATCTTTTCCCTAAAAGAATTACACTGGATTACATCTACATTTAAAAGTCAATCCCCTGTCAAATAAGCCATACTTTTCTTAAAGCCTAAAGTATACCACAAAGGACATTAAAATAAAATCATGAGTTTGTAATTAAAATTTTAGACCTTCTCAAGGGCAGCCATTATCTTACCGGGGTTTTTCAGAACATCTAGGACACTTCCTTCTTTCAGGGTTTTTGCAGGTCTAAAAGGGCCCTCAAAATCTTCATCTGGCTTCTTACAGCTTGTACTGTGCACTGCAGTGATATCTTGAGCTGTAATTTTTTTTAATTATAAAAGATATTATGCCAAGAAAAAGCACTGGACTCAACTTAAATATACTGAAAAGATCTTTTAGAGACAATATTTGGATCAACTTCTAAAACATCATTAAAAAGTCTGAAATTCAAAAATAATGAACAAATTATTTAACAGTACAGAGTTAAACTGCCATTACAAGGAAGTAAAAATACTATTTCCCACATTGTACATCTCTCTCCTCCAGAAGGACAAAAAATATAGACTATAATTACAACCCAATGAGTTCACTGGTAATTAAGAAAGTCAAGCTGAAACATTCAAGAGGATATGGCAACTGAGGCAACTTGACTCCCTTCATGAAATATGTAATCAATTACATAGCAATTTATAATACTGATTTTAAAAAAGCCTTAAAAATATTTAACTGAGCCAGTTATTTCTAGAAACTTGGCCTATGACTGAAACTATCCTTCCATTGCAACACTGAAAACCCGGGTGATAAATGTTCAGTGAGGGACTGATAACATAAATGTACAAAACACTAACACAATAAAATGTTACACAGCTACACAAAAACATCCTTCTTAAAAGCACAGTTATAGGTAAAAACAGGTAAGAAAGTCCAAAAGATTTTGAATATTTACATCTAAAGAGTAATAATGGGTGGCTGCTAGTGATGAGTGACTTTTATTTATTGCTTTTACTTTTTATATTTCCCAAACTTTCCAAAACAAACATATCCTTTTACTTAAAATCAGAGATCTATATTTTGAGTATGATGATGCTTTTGTGGTTAGAGTTTTAACAGGGGACTGTATAGATGAAATATGTGTGGAACTGTTTCAAAGTAAACCAATAGGTGTGTTTGTATGTGTGCAAAGGGAAGAAGGGAGGGAGGGATACATAAGATTGGTCATAAAGCGGTAAATGTTGAAGCTGGGTAAAGAGTATATGGGCATTCAATCTACCATTCAACTTCAGAGAATATTTGAAATCTTTTATAATAAAGTAACCAGGTTTTTCAACTTGAGTGTTTGCCAATTAAAAAGGGGTTTCAAAAAATCCTGCCTACCCATATACCTTACACCATAAACAGAACTTAATTCAAAATGGATCACTAATCTAAATATAAGAAAACTATAATGCTCTTAAAAGAAAAGCTAGGATGAATATCTTCATGACCATGAATTTGGCAATATATTCTTAGATATGACACCAAAAGCACAAGCAGAAAAAAAATTTAAACTTCTCCAAAATTAAAAACCTTTGCATATTTAAAGACATTATCAAGAAAGTGTAAAAACACAATCCACTGAACTGGAGAAATTATTTACAAATCATATGTCTGGTAAGTATACAGTATCCAGACTTTATAAAAATGGTTACATCTCAGCAAAGAGACAAACCCATTTTAAAGTGGGCAAAGGCTTGATTAGACATTTCTCCCAAGAAGTTATATAAAGGGCCAACAAATACACAAACAGGGTCAACACCATTAATCACTAGAGAAATGCCAACCAATGGCTATTAAAAAAAAAGAGAGAGAGAGAAAAGGAAGTGTGATAAAGATGTAAAGAAATTTAAACCCTCACATACTGCTAGTGGGAAAATGAAATAAGCTAGCTGCTGAGAAAAACAACTTTGTGGTTCCTCAAAAGACCATCTGACCCACCCATTTCATTCCTAGGTGTATACCCCAAAACACTGAAACGAGTATTCAAACAAATACATATGCATGCATATTCACAGCAGCACTATCTACAACAGCCAAAAGGTGGGAAGAGCCCTGATGTCCATCAAGAGACAGAAAGACAAATGAACAAATACAACAGAAATAAACTCAAAGATAAGAGAACATTTTGATGGTTGCCAGATGGGATGGGGACGAGGGGATCAGTGAAAAAGAGGAAGAGATTAAGTACAAATAGTACAAACTGATAGAAACAAAACTCATAGGGATGTAAAGTACAGCCTAGGGAATATCGTCAATAATATTATAGTAACTACATATGTCAAATGGGTAACAGATTTATCAAGGTGATCACTTCATAAGTTACATAAATGTTGAATTGCTATGTTGTACACCTTAAACTAATAGCATGTATGGGAGGCAACCAATCTGTGTTTCTCTCATACACTGATGTTTCTCTTTCTCCCTTCCCCTCTCTCTAAAAATATAAACAAAATCCTAAAAAGAAAAACTACTTTTAAAAAAGAAATAACTGATTATTCACCTCTCCCTCACTTATGCCAATTTCCTGAGTTCAGATAGTATGTATTACTAATTGCAAAGGTTATGTGTCATAATCATGACACACAAAAATGCTTGTGAATCTAACAGTAAACTTAGGGAATCCACTGCAATTACAACGTAGACAACTCTTGATTTCTTATAAGACTTCTGTTATAACATACTTATTTTGACTGAACAAAGACAATGCATAAATTCACTTTGTGACTATCCCCTTCACAATCAAAGTGTTAATATTTACATTTAGGAAGCTAAATATCTCTGAGGATAATTACTAAAAAGTATTATTGTCAAAAGGTTGATATTAGCTCCTTGTTTGCTTTTCAGAGCCAATTTGATTCAAATGAAAGCATTTATAAGAATTTCCAAAGGTGAAAGAATTAGAAATATTAATCTAATGTATGCAACTATGTGAAAATTTGTGAGAAATTTTTACTTACCGGAACTACTTGTGATTGGTTCTGAAATATTACTAGAGCCACAAAGTTCTGCTGTTTTTGCAACAGGCACACTAAATGTAAAACCAATCTGTAAAGAGAAAAGTTATCCTTTAAGTGTCAAATTAGTTTTAAGTAAGTATCAAATAGAGGGGTTTTTTTATTTCAAGTGGAAAATATATACTGAATTTCATTTATTCTAAGATTCACAATTTTTCATGTTTTACAATCTCTAAAACTGTGATGCTTCTTGTAACAAATGGAGTTTCACAGTTTAACAGCAGAGTTTTTAATTTCTAAGGCACCTTTTTCTTTCAAAGCAGTATATAAGTAATGTGTTCCTAATGCCTAAGTATGGGTTGCTAAATGTTATTTTCTAACAAAAAAGTTTGAGACTTTCTGGACAACAAACAGATTTCAAGCATGCAGCAGGGAAACTACAATTATCTGGGGCATCTGGTTGACAGAATACAATGACACAGTAAAAAACACGAAGAGCAACATGTTAAAATGATACACATGCCAAATAAGAATTAGGAAACCTAAACACTGAACTTATAATTCTTACCCAAAATATTTATTTCTATTACAAAGAAAAACAAATACATATTGTGGAACATAAATATCTAAAACTTATCTAGGTTAAAAATAATTCAAGAAACATATTAACTAAATGCATGATGACTTAATTGATTAGGTCCTAATCTTAACTGGATCTAAGACCAAGAGAAAACAAAACAGCAATTAAAGGACAGTCTGGGATTGATAGGGAAATGTGAATATGGATTATGTTATTATTGTATCATGTTAAATTTTGTGGGTATGATAATTGTATTGTGGATATACTGTATTGTAAAAGGACAAAGGAATGTCCTTTTACTTAGGGGAAACATGGACAGTATTAAGGGCATTAAGATGTCCGCACCTTAACTTGCAAATGGTACGTAAGAAAAGGAATATACCTGTGTGTGTGTGCATGATGTGTGAAGTCAAAAATAAAGGCTTTTCACTCACTCATCCTTTCTGTACATTGTGATTTTTTAACCCAGAAGAAAAATAGTTTATTTCTTACCACTGATAGTATCTTGGATTTGAGATAAAAATACAGTGTGCCTTTGAAATCAATTAATATGAAATATTCTTTAGTTGGTACTTACAGATGGTGGAGGTAGTACATCTGCCTCAGTAGATTTTACAATTGGAGATGAAAATCTGAACATGGGACTGTTTGTGTTGTTTGGAGAGGTCATTTGTACCTGGTTTTCCAAATTATTAAACAAAATACAAAAGAGAACTCCTTAGAAAAAGAAAACTGTCACAGTAAAATAGACCGTAAGCTAATTATTCCAAAGAAGCCAAAAGCAAAATTCTCCCCTTTTAGATTTAAAAATCACTTTTTAACTTCTCAAAAATACTTAATAGTAACTGCTATAAAATCTGCCTTCCTCTTAGAAGAGGAGCATACAGTTTTCAAACATGGGTATTTGTCTAAAGAAGAAAAATAACATCCATAAGCAAACATTTAGAAGATTTTTTAAAAAGTAAAAGTTCAGAAAAAGTAAAAGCCAAAACAAAAGTGTAAAAACTTAACGAGCAAATTAAAGATATTAATCCTACTTGAAAAATAAAAACATAAATCTATCCTTACAGAAAAAAAAGCATCTCATTTGAAAACAGTTTGGAAACAAACACAATCATCTCTTTCTTTAGTGCACTGCTGCGTAAGAATTGAAGAGCACCCCCATTACAACATATCCCATTATAATGTACATTTTTTAAAAAGGCGAAATACCACTTCCATTTTTCTCTTCTTACTGAGTTGATTTCCATAGTGAAAATTAATCACTGTCTTAAACTGAATTACTGCATTTTGCAGTGTATAATGTACTGTTTTTTGCCCAAATTTTTGAGAGAAAAATAAGGACATGCATTATACATGGGCAGTGTTAAGATATGGGTGGTACAGTATGCATGGTGAAGTATGGTACATGTTTTAAAATAAACAATAAGAAAGATCACAAATGACCTCTACTTGTACAAAGGTTTTGTACCTTGTTTGTTGATGACTGTGCAGGACTAACTGGTGATGAAGTTGTGATCACAGAGGAACTAAAATTAAAGGTAGGCAGTGAAGAACTGGTGATGGGTAGAGAGATTTTTGGCAACACTGGTACTTCCATTTCCTGAAACACAATTAAGTTTTATAATGATATGGTTCATCTTTTATGTCATTCTTTTATCTGTTCTTGTTTTAAAGTAGATTTTATATAGTTACAGGTAAATTTAAAATAGGAAGAAGGCAGCACCATGCAGTTTTAACAATGTGAGCTCTTGAATGGGAAAAAACCAAACTAAACAAAATTTGAATCCCATATGCCAGCTATATGACTTTGTGAACTACCTACCCCTCAATACCAATTGCCAAACTAGTGAAAAATGAGGAAAGAAAATAATATACTGTGGTTGTGATATTAACATGAAACAAAGTTATCTATCATTTAATAAATATCAGTATTAATGAGTTTGGTGAACTGCCTTGGTTTTTAACTCAATATTAGCAAAGGCCACCCAAGTCTCAAATGACGCACATCTAGAACAAAGAGTTCTGCTTCTGCTAAAGGTGGCGTAGTTCATATTTTACCAATACTCTGACAGATAACAATTACAAACTCTGGACAAAATATTAAAAAAAAACCTCTTTGAGCCCTGGCCAGTGTGCCTCAGTTAGTTAGCACATACTCCCATGGACCAATAGGTCGTAGGTTTGATTCCAGGTCAGGGCACATACCTAGGTTGTGGATTCAACTTCTGGGTGGAGTGTGTATGAGAAGGCAAAGAAAAGATGTCATTGGATGAGGATTAAAAAAAATTATCTGAAAACACTGAAGAGCAAACAAAAACAAGCAGAAACTAGAGGAAATAAGATACTTGAAAGAAGAGAAGAACACAGAGTGAGCTTCATATTCTCTTTTTGAGTTGGTGTCACTAGACAGAAGAAATTCAGAGAAAACTGCAAATGTGCTAGAGGAGGAATCACAGGACAGACAAGGTGACCAGAGCAGCTAGAAAATGAGTGGAGATGCAGGACTGAAGAGCCATAGAAGGGGAGCCCTAAGTCTGCATATAAACTGTCCAAATCTCCAGCAGACCTGTAAATGACATGTGTGTAAGGCAGACACTGAACAGCCAATTAAGACTAAAGAGTTTCAGCTGCTGCCCACCACAGACGAGACAAGAGTGTGAGTTCAGTGAGTTCACTGCCAGCTAAAACAATCTGGATACTTCAAATGGATGAGGTTTATTATACATAAATCACACCTTAGTAGAGTTAAGCCTGCCACCAAAGGAAAAATAATGACACTTTCAGGTAAAAGAAAACTAAGAGAATCTGTTGCTATAAAACCTGCTCTATAAGTTCTTTAGGGTAAACAAAAATGACACTATATGGAAACTCAGATTTCTGGAAGAAATGGAGAATTTGGGAGCAAACATAAATTTTTTCCATTAATTTCTTTAACTGTGTAAAGCAAAAATCCTATGTGAGCCCTGGCTGGTGTAACTCAGTGGGCGCAGACTGTGAACCAAAGGGTTGCCAGTTTGATTCCCAGTCAGGACACATGCCTGGGTTGTGGGCCAGGTCCCCTGTGAGGGCCACATGAGAGGCAACCATACATTGATGTTTCTTTCCCTCTCTTTGTCCCTCCCTTCTCCTCTTTCTAAAAATAAATAAAGTAAAATAAAAACCTTAAAAAAAGTTGTACCCATTTAAAAAATTTTTTTAAAATCATATGCGATAGGTTTATAGCCTATCTATCTAAATGTAATACAAATGACAATGACAGAATAACATACCAAGGGAGTGATGGTAAATCAAACTATAAGGATACAAGATTCTTAAATTTTCAAAGGGAACGGTACAATATTAACACAAAGTAAAATACACAGTAATCCCAAGAGGAACCACTAAGTAACATGCAGAGACAGATAAGCCAAAAAGTAATTAAAATGGAATTCAAACAGATATTCAATTAACCCCCCAAAAAAGTGGCTTTCGAAAGGAAAAAGAAAGAAAAAAAAATGGGAAAATTAGAACACTGGCAGGCCATATGCAACCATATCAGTAATTACATTACAAGTAAACAGTCCAATTAAAAGGCAAGAATCAACTATATGCTATCTACAAGAGACTAAAATATACAGACACAGGTTGAAAGTAAATGGCTGAAAAAAGATATAACCTGTGATAAGCCTAAGAAAGCTTATTCTAACAAGAGTGGCTGGCTATATATATACCAGATAAAGTAGATTTTAAGACAAAGAATATTTCAAAAAACACTTTTAAGGGCATGTATTAATATTAAAAGAGGTACATCACTGAAAAACTGTAATAGGTATAAGGTGTATGTTCTAATGAGGACCTCAAAATATTTGAAGCAAATATTTATGTATTAATATATTGAGAAAAATATATCAAATGTAAGTTGACAATTGTAATTCCTGTTTTTCAACAATTTTAATAGACTAACCAGACAGACCCCCTAAATAAGCCTCACAAAGTTGAGCAAGAACAAGTAAGATCTAGGAAATAGTATCAGTCATCTTATCTGACTTCTACAGAACACTATACCCAACAACTGCAGAATATACATTCTTTAAGATTCATCAAGCAGACGTTATGCTGGGCTATACAAGAAGTCTTAATGCATTTCAAAACATTAAAATCATGATTAAACACACTTCTAAATAATCCATGGGTTACACAAGAAGTAAAAAAGGAATTTAGAAAAAACATAAAAGCACTGCTAATTATCTTCAGTAGATAATAACATAGAACTCTGCAATCTGGGGAGACGAGAGAGTTGCTTAGGTACAGAGAAATAATAGAGAAAAAATAAATAGGTTCAGACTTCTTGTAAGACATGTATTATTCAAAATACTGTATTTTGTCATGTATAATGTGCACTTTTCTTGCACAAATTTTTGACGGAAAATAAGGATGTGTATTATATATGGGTAGTACCTGAAATACCTTGTATCTGTTCTTGTGTTTTGTTAATTATTTGTTACATAAAATTTGTTGTACCATAATATGTTAAAAAATAAATGCTAAAAAATGCTAAAATTCCTTTATAATATAAAAAAAGTCAAGTATCTAAATATAAATAAATAAAAAATTGAATTAAAAAATTAAAATGAAAGATTATTTCTCCTGAAACTTTGGGACAAAAATGTGGGCACATATTATACATGGAGTGTATCATACATGGCAAAATCCAGTATCTAGGTCCAGAATTCATAGTTTGTACAACTCAATAAAACAACCCAATCTTAAAAGGGCAAAAGATCTGAACAGAGATCGCACAAAGAATGACGATACTAACAGCCAATAAGGACATAAACAAGAATACAATATTACTAGTCATTAGAGAAATGCAAATTAAAATTACATTGATATAACACCATACACAAAGCAGAATGGCTACAATTTAAAAAATGACAGTCAGCTACTGGTAAAGATACAGAGTAACAGAAATGCCCACACATTGGTGGGAGTATAAAATGTTACTCCTGCCTCCCCTGTCTGGTTCTATATTTACCCCAAGAGAAATAAACATGTCTTCAATTAAGGTACAACAAGAATGTTCACAGCAGCTTTATTCATAACAGCCAGACCCTCCAAAAAAAATGCACACTGAACTGTACTGATATTAAGTTTTGGAACAAGCAAAACCCAATACACAGTGGGGGAAAAATGAGAACAGTAATTTTTCCAGGAGTGGAGGCAGTGAGTATTAACTGTGAAGGAGCACAAGTGTAAGGACTGCAAATGTCTGACACCTCCACAGGACTCTGGGTTACAGAGATGTAAACATTTGTCAAATTCATTCAATGATGCACCTATTAATTTTACATTTCACCACCTGAAAATTCTTGCTAAATTAAAAAACAAATATTTAACTCTAGTTCATGCAATGCATGCTGAAGTATGGTGGGGGGGGGTAAAGTATACTGAGTTAAGTCTTAAATTTACTTTGAAATGCACCCCAAAAATATGAATATTTATTTGCTAAAGCAAATATAACAAAATATTAGAATCTAGGTGCTAGTATTATGTACGTTCACTGCCCAATCTTTCAAAATTTCTTGTGTGAAGCGTATAATCAAATGTGGAGGAGGAGGAAGGAAGGACACAACAGACACATTTGGGTATTTCTGTAGGGATGTTTCTTTCCATCTCCAACCTTAGCCTGATTTTCTTCCCTTTAGACCCTTTATAACACCTGGACACACCAAGTGAACATAACCTGTACCTCATGCCAACTCATTAAGCTATATGGTTGCCCTTGCTGGTTATTATTATTATTGACTTTAAACCAATTTTAAATTTGATTCTTAGTCACCAATATTTTGACTTGATTGATCAAAAGTGGGTCCCACAAATCTGGGTGAAACTAAGTCAAGAGCTGTAACTAGATGCTTACAGATGCCTCAAGTTAAACAAAATCACCATCAAATCTGTGACTTACTATATACATTACCTTTGTAATACCTTTACATGGGTTGTCTCACAGGAGATAGACACTTAGTACTGTAGATGACGAAACTGGGGCACACAGATACATGGCCTAATATCAGACAGGTATTAAATGACAGACATCCTACAGACACAAGCTAAATATATTTTTCTTAACACCATTTTTTAAAAAAGATTTTACAATGAGATAGCAACTCAAAAAAAGACTATTTATTTTTGGGGGGGAGGAAGAAAGGGAGAAAGAGGTACCTCAATGTGTGAGAGAAACATGAACTGGTTTCTTCTCGCATGTCCCCAACCAGGGACCTGGCGTGAACTCAGGTGTGTTCCCTGACCCAGGAACCAAGCTGGTGACAGTCAGCTTTGCAAGATGACACCTAACCCACTGAGCCGCACTGCTCAAGGCTTATCCTCATTTTAAAGAGAAGGAAGCTGATGTACAAGGAGTTAAGTCAATCAAAGTCATGACACCACTGACTGGCAGAACACATGACAACATGAAGCACTTAAATCTACCCGAACTCAATCTTATTATAAACTACTTATCTATTCAGCATCAATGAACTTTTCCATTATAAAAACAGAGTATCACAGCAAAGGCAAATTCCCAGTGTTTAGGGACCAGCACACAATCCTCACAAATGTTGGAATCTGAGATAAGGCAAAAGCTAAAACACACTTTTACTACCTCATTTTGCAAATTGGGTTCTTTTTTTTTTTTACTTATTTTATTGATTATGCTATTACAGTTGTCTCATTCCTCTCTACCCTGCACACCCTCTCCCACCCACATCTTTAGCTTCTATGTCCCATACTATTCTTGCCCTCCTTCTGTCTATTTTGTACCTACCATCTATGCTACTTATTCCCTGTACCTTTCCCCCTCTCCTCCTCCCACTCCTCTGTTGCTAACCCTCCAAATGATTTCCATTTCTGTGGTTCTGTTCCTGTTCTAGTTGTTTGCTTAGTTCCTTTTTGTTTTTGTTTTAGGTGTGGTTGTTAATAATTGTGAGTTTGCTGCCATTTTACCATACATGTTTTCAATGTTCTTTTTCCTAGATAAGTCCCTTTAACATTTCATATAATAAGGGCTTGGTGATGATGAACTCCTTTAACTTGACCTTATCTGAGAAGCGCTTTTTATCTACCCTTCCATTCTAAATGAAAGCTTTGCTGGATAGAGCAATCTGGGATGTAGGTCCTTGCTTTTCATGACTTGGAATACCTCTTTCCAGCCCCTTCTTGCCTGCAAGGTCTCTTTTGAGGAATCAGCTGACAGTCTGATGGGAACTCCTTTGTAGGTGACTGTCCCCTTATCTCTTGCTGCTTCCAGGATTCTCTCCTTCATTTTAATCTTGGATAATGTAATTATGATGTGCCTTGGTGTGTTTCTCCTTGGGTCCAACTTCTTTGGGACTTTGAGCTTCCTGGACTTCCTGGAAGTCTATTTCCTTTGCCAGATTGGGGAAGTTCTCCTGTATTATTTGTTCAAATAACTTTTCCACTTGTTGCTCTTCCTCTTCCCCTTCTGGTACCCCTATAATTCAGATGTTGGAACGTTTAAAGATGTCCTGGGGGTTCCTAAGCCTCTCCTCATTTTTTTGAATTCTTGTTTCTTCATTCTTTTCTGTTTGGTTGAATGTTTCTTTCTTCCTTCTGGTCCACTCCAATGATTTGAGTCCCAGTTTTCTTCCCCTCACTATTGGTTCCCTGTGCATTTTCCTTCATTTCACTTAACATAGCCTTCATTTCTTCATCTAATTTGCAACCAAATTCAACGAATTCTGTGAGCATCCTGATCACCAGTACTTTGAACTGTGCATCTGATAGGTTGGCTGTCTCTTAGTCGCTTAGTTGTATTTGCTGTGGAGCTTTGATCTATTCTTCTGTTTGGGCCATTCTTTTTTTTTTTTTTTTTGGTCTCGTCCTGCCTGTTATGTATGAGGGGCAGAGCCTTAGGTGTTCACCAGAGCGGGGCAACCCAGTGGCTAGGTTGTAACATTGTATGTGGGGGTGGGGTCCAAGAGGGAACAACGGCACTTGCTCCACTCTCTGTCGGATCCCAGTCCCCTCTGCTGCTTCCCCCAAGCAAACTGGGCCCTTCTGGCGCTGATTTCCTTGTGGGTAGGCCTGTGTACATTCTAGGACCCTGTGGGTCTCTCCAACAAACTTTCCCATGAGGCTGGGAGTCTCTCCCGGCGCCTCAACCCCCACAGTTGTCTTCAATCAGTGTTTCGAGGCCTTATTTCTTGGCACTGGGACCCTAGGCTGCGAGGTCTGTCTCACTCCCCAGTTTTGCCTGGTTTATCTGCTCGCAAATGTGGGACCGCCCACAGTCCCTCACTTCATAATTGCTACCTCACCGGGTCTGCCCTGGGGTCTGCCAGCCACCACCTGCATGCCCAGGGTCCACCCGCTGCCATCTTACTCGCCTGTGGTTCCTTGCACGCCCAGTACCACTGCTTTTTGTGCCACGAACCCTCTCCACCACGCCTACCGGTCTGGAAGAATGTGTCTATTTTAACTCCTTGGTTGTTGGACTTCCATTTTCTGTCAGTTCAATTTTCTGTCACTTCTGGTTGTTATTTTGTTTCTAAATTGTTGTTTTCCTTATTTTGGTTGTGCAAGGAGGCACAGTGTGTCTACCTTCATCTCCATCTTGGCCGGAAGTCCAAATTGGGTTATTTCTAACATAGAATTCTATAAAACTGAATGTTTAGTAAATGAAATACACCAGTCCCTATGAAGTAGAAATGTATCTGTAATTAGCATAATTTGTTTAATTTTATTAAAGATAAAATTTCTTCCACTTGACCTTCCTAAAAGCCTATTTAAAAAACCTACAAAAATGAATCTTCGATCTTTTTACCAAAAACTCCCATTAAGTACAATTAATTTAAGAAACAATGTGGTGTAAACACATTTGCTATCTGAAACAAACAAAAAATGGTACTGGACACATTAAATAAGGAAGTATCTATCCAAAACTATTACACATAAATTTTTTAAAAAACAGAGGGTACGCAGAAAATTTGGGGCAGCCACCCATTAGGACCTCTTTCCTCAGAAATGTAGAAACTCTAACTCCAGTATGGAAGAGAGTTAGAGGCAGAAGGAGTTGGGTGAAGCATCCTGGGATGTGAAATTGGCAGTTGGCAGTTGACCGGAATGAAGAGAGGGGCCCACATAAGGGAGGAGGTCATAAAGAGGTCTGGGAAGTTAAGAGTTTCATAAAGCTCCTTATAGTTAATATACCAAATACTAAAAGCCAAAGTAAATAAATTAATTTTAACCCCCCAAAACGTCTCAACACAGCAAAGTCAAACTAAACACAAATCTACAAGACAGCTGAAATTAAGCTACAGGTACCAACCTGAGATCGAAACTGAAGGGAAATAAGCAAAATTCACAATCTGTCATTTGGCAAACACCAAACCAAGCTAGTAATTGTTCTCATACAGGGATAAACTTTAAAAAGGTAGGACCACTCATTTTACTGAGAAATATAAAAACCCATCTAAAGAACAAGTTCATGCTATATCAATCAGGTATTAATTTCCTTATGTATATAAGGCAAAATAACCCATTTCATAACTGTAATTAAATCTACATGAAGAGCTTAAATCACAAAAGATAATTGGCTTGCTAAGAAAACTACAAAGTTTCATACACTATGTAATTTAATGACATTTGAGAGTTTCTCTTTCAAGATAGAATATATTAATACTTCCCCTCCCTACACAACACTCCAGCACAGCAACAAGTAGAATCTAAGGGAAAACACAGAGCCTCAAGGCCAGTAACGGAGCCAAGGCCCCTAGCATAACTATTACAAGATAGGCTCCATGGCAGAAGGTCCCAACTGCCAAAGAAGTCATGATTCTGGTGAGCTGTGCCTCTGGAGAGGCACAACTAAACAAATAAGAAGAGATAGATAAGGAAAAAATTAGAAACATTTCCCATTCTAAATAAGCCTGCAAAGCAGGCTTTGCAACAGACATAAAAAGATACTAATACATACAACAATTTCAATCAAAACATGACTTCACAGTCAACAAAGACTGTTAGAAAAGATCTCCTATTTAAAAATCTAAATAAATACTCTTGAAAAATATGGGTCAATGAGAAAGTTACAAATGAAATTTTAATTAGAAACACATGACAAATAAAAACTTTACTAATCCAGCTAGGCTGAAATTCATCTACAAAAAGACTGAAATGAGACCTGCCTTCAACTCAAAGCAGACAGAAAACAAATACAACATATAGGGAAAGAAAAGCTAATTTAACCAATCTTCCATTAGTCCATATCTTTTTTCAAACTTTCATACGCAGAATATATAAAAAACTTTTCCTAATAAAATAACCCTAAAGAAAAAACTGATAAAGAGAAATCCCCAATGGCAAAGAAACTCACAAAAAGACGTCTCCTCTCCCTAGTAAACAACAAAATGCAAAATAAAACTCCTATGACATGCCACTTCACAGCCATCACAGTGGTAAATATTTTTAAATGAACAAAATCAAGTACTAATAAGAATAAAGAAAAACCATATCTACCTACTGTCAGGTGGAAGTGTTAAATTGGAAAACTACTTTGAAGAGTAATGAGGCAACATCTAATACTCTTGAATTTGTGTATCATGTCCTATAATCAAATAATTCCATTCCTAAATAGCCTAGACCAAATACTGCATGTGTGCAAAGGCAGAAGTGCACAAATATTCGCCTTAGCATATATTAAGAATCAAATGAAATATACCCTGCAGAATGAACTGTGGTAAACCTTCATACTGAAATTAAATAACCTAGAGTTACCTTTCACAACATGATAAAGTTCACAAATAATATGAAGGGCAGGTGAAATGAATACAAAGCACATTCATCTATTTTTGCAGAAATTTGCAAAACCAAATTATACAATATTCTAAGGCTCAAATAATTTCATTGCAATTCTTTTATTGAAACAATTATGGCTTTTTAATGACACCCATGAAATTTTTCAGTACTGTTACGTTTTCTGAATTGTCACAGTGAAGATGGTTTAAAAAATCTGGTAGTTTAAAACACACACGTGCACATAAACAAATATTTTGAAGGAACCATTTCAGTGGCACATTACTGTTGTGTTGGGTCTCCCTAAACCCCACACCTCCAAGATCTCCCCTCACCACCGCAACACACCAAAGCTTTTAATAAACATCAAGAGTATTAAGTATGTAAACCTACCTCCTCTTCTGGAGGTTTACATGTCACAAAGCGTGTTCTTTCTCGTCTCATCTTGCCGCCTGCAATACCTACTCCAGAAGGTACACCATTGGCTGCAGACACACTGAAATTTGGGTACGAAAAACCACTAAGAAAAAAAATAAGTAAATGCTATATTATTCTGGTCCATAACCTGTTAACTCACTGAATATCTAAAAATCAGAACTGCTACAGAAAAAAAAATGTACAGCTGAATGTGATTTTAAAAGCTAACATATTTTTTGTGCATAGTTTATTTTTTAACCTTCTTAATATTCAGAAAGGCATAAATACATTACATACAGAATTTAAAATTTATGTATAAAGAAGTTTAGCTATAAAGATGGCATTACCTTTCTCGTTGTTCTCTATTTTGTCCTGGTGTCATACTTTTTTCATATCCAGTCTAGAAAAAAATAAAACGATATTTAAAAGCTTGCTTATTTTTTTTCTTCTTTTTTTTTTAAATATTTTATTTATTTTTAGAGAGGGAAGGGAGGAAGATAGAGAGAGAGGAACATCAATGTGCAGTTGCTGGGGGTCATGGCCTGCAACCCAGGCATGTACCCTGACTGGGAATCAAACCTGAGACACTTTGGTTCGCAGCCCGCGCTCAGTCCACTGAGCTACGCCAGCCAGGGCTTAATTTTCTTAATACTACCTTTCTATCTGTGAATTTTAGTATTTGGAATCAGGAATTTAATGGTTTTTAGTTAATGAATCCTAAAATTTGCAACTTAGAAACTACCTTCTGAGTAGAGCCTAGTGAGTAGTGGTAGAGCCTACTACAAGTATTAGTGTGATTATATACACACATAAAATGTCACTAAGTACAACTGTGCTTCAAACAAAATGGTTACTATACAAGGTTAATATACTTACCACTTTTACTTATCTCTTGCTTTAGCACATTAAATATGCAGCAAGTTTATAAGGATATTCCTTTTGAAATTATTCTCTGAAACTTACCTCTTACCACATCAAAATTAAAAGTAAATTACACATCAACCTAGGTAACCATCTGAAGACGACAATAAGACAGGTATGTCTGTTTCACCACTCTTACTCAAAATTGTGGGAGAAAACTGTACTTGAACAATGATTAAAATAAAATTAAAAAAAAAAATTGTACCGTAAGTCCTTGCCACAGCAATCTAATAAAAAATAAAAGGCATCTAATCTAAATTGGTAAAAAAGAAGTAAAACTGTCATCTGCAGATGATATGAAATTGTACACAGAGAACCCTAAAGAGTCTACCAAAAAACCACTAGAACTGGCAATAGGCAACAACCAGCCACAGAGAGCACCCAACCCCCATACCTCTTGCTAAGTGGTCAAGGTGGGCAGCATAGGTAAACAAGGCTCATCTCCTCACACAACCACATCAAAATTACAATTAAAATATAGAATAACCATCACTCAGAAACATCAGAAATCAAGCTGAAGAGAAGTCTGACAACTACGAAATCAAAGAAACCACATCCGTCCAGACTGGTGGGAGGGGAAGAGAGGTGGAACAGGCTGGTCCCTCCCTCACCGACATGTGATGGGTAAAAATTCGAGAGGGATACCCCAGAAGCAAGGAGTTCCAGCCCCATACCAGGTCCCCCAGCCCAGGGTTCCAGTGCCAGGAAGGCAAGTACTCATAACTTCTGGCTACAAAAACCAACAGGGACTGGGTTGGTGGAAAAAACTGCTGGAAGTCCTAAGCAGTTCCTCTTAACTCACACACGCTTACTCAGACTCACTTCTGAGCTCCTGCACCAGGGTAGTAGATTGAAAGGCATCAGTGGCATAGACAGAGAAACTGAAGTGCCTGGCATCAAGGCAAGAGCTGGGGGACAGCTTTCTCCCAGACAAAAGGCAGGCAGAGGCCACTGTCTCTTTTGTGAACTCTCCTCCCAAAAGAGCCACAGAGCCAGCAGGCAGATGCCATATCTTAGACTCCATCAACCTTACTAACACTGTTTGCCCTGCCCTGGAGATCCTGAGACTCCACTCCCCTCAACTTACAGGCCCACCCAAGTTGTCAACAGAGACTTTTCCATATCAATGGCTGGTCTTGGATTATGCATGACAACTTCCTAAATCGTCTCAAACAAGCAACAACCAGCCACAGAGAGCACCCAACCCCCATACCTCTTGCTAAGTGGCCCCAGGCCCAGCACTAACAGCAGCCAGCCTAGATGCACAGCTTGGCTTCACCTGGGAATCTCCAAACGCACCACAAATACCAGACATCTCAGATTGATTTACAGCTTAGGAAGTGTGGTCCCAGGCAAAACATAGGTGGGAGCTGACCTTGATCTGAACCACCCAGGAAACCCGAGAGACTGTGCACCCAGTGGGCAGCTACAGACCACATCGGATCACCACTACCCTGCCCCTGAACAGCAGATCCTTCACAGATGTGCAGGTTGGAGGTCAGTGGTCACACAGCCAGTCCCTGCAGCTGACTGGCCTGGGTAAACCCATCCCATTAATCTGCCAACAACAATCAAGGCTCAACTACACAGGAGGGTGTACTCAGCCTATACGAAGGGCGCACCTTAAGCACCCAGCCTGGGCAACTGGGGAGACTGTGCAACTGTACTCTCCAGGACAGCTACTACATTAGGTCACACTACCAAGACACAGAATCAAAGCAGCTTTACCTAATACATAGAAACAAACATAGGGGGGCGGCCAAAATGAGGAGACAGAAATATGGCCCAAATGAAAGAACAGATCAAAACTCCAGAAAAAGAGGAGATAAGCAATCTATCAGATGCAGAGTTCAAAACACTGGTTATGAGGATGCCCAAGGAACTTACTGAGGACCTCAACAGCATAAAAAAGACTTGGTCAGAAATGAAGGACACACTAATTGAAATAAAGAACAATTTACAGGGAAACAACAGTAGAGGGGATGAAGCTGAGAATCAAATCAATGATATGGAACATAAGGAAGCAAAAATCAACCAATCAGAACAAGAAAAAGAATCCAAAAAAATGAGGATAGTGTAAGCAACCTATGGGACAACTTCAAGCATTCCAACACTCTCATCACAGGGGTGCCAGAAGAAGACAAAGAGCAAGAAATGGGCAATCTATTTGAAAAAATAATGAAAGAAAACTTTCCAAATTTGGTGCAGGAAATTGATATAGCAAGTCCAGAAAGCACAGTGAGTCCCAAACAAGATGGATGGAAAGAGGCCCACTCCAAAACACATCATCATTAAAATGTCAAAGGTTAAAGATAAAGAGAGAATCTTAAAAGCAGCAAGAGAAAAGAAGTTAAATACCTACAGAGGAGTTCTCATTAAGACTGTCAGCTGATTTCTCAGAAGACATTTTGCAGGCTAGAAGGGATTGGCAAGAAATATTCAAAGTCATAAAAAGTGGAGACCTACAGCCAAGACTGTTCTACCCAACAAAGCTATCATTTAGAATCGAAGGACAGATAAAGAGCTTGCCAGACAAGAAAAAACTAAAGTTCATCACCACCAAACCATTATTATATGAAATGTTAAAGGGACTTATTTAAGAAAAAGAATAAGATCAAAACTATGAACAATAAAATGCCAATAAATACCTATCTGTTTACAATTTAATCTAAAAACAAACTAAGCTAATAAGAACGGAGACAAAATCACAGATATAGATTGGGTTTTCATGGTTGCCAGATGGGAGGGGATTGTGGGAAAATGGTAAACAGATGAGAGGTTTAAGAAGTACATATAGGTAGTTACAGAATAGCCATGAGGATGTAAAGTACAGTACAGGAAATGGAATAGCCCAATAACCTAATCTGTATGACACAGGGACATGAACAATGGTGTGGGGATTGCCTGAGGGAGTGGGGAGTGCTGTATTGAGGGGATCCAGGGGGTAAAATTTGTACAACTGTGACAGCATAATCAATAAAATATAATAAAAAAAACTATTAGAACTGATAAATGAATTCAGTTAAGTAGCAGAATACAAGATAAATATTCAGAAACAGGTTTCATTTTTATATAATGATCTATCAGAAAAAGAAACTAAGTAAACAATCCCATTTATAATTGCATCAAAACAATAGCTATGAATAAATTTAACCAAGAAGGTAAAAGACATAATCTATTAAAATATAAGACAGTGAAGAAGATACAAATAAATAGATCCATATACCTGTGCTCATGGATAGGAAGAATTAACATTGTTAAAATGTCCATACTATCCAAAGCAATCTACAGATTCAATGAAATAGCTATCAAAATACCAATGGTGTTTTTCACAGAACTAGAACAAATAATCAAAAAACTTACATGGAACCACCAAAGACCCCGAGTAGCCACAGCAATCTTGAGAAAAAGAGGACAAAGTTGAAAGTATATCCCTAAGTTGAAAGTATATACCTAATATCAAATTATATTATAAGGCTATTGCAATCAAAACATGATACTGACATTAAAAGACACATAGGTCAATGGAACAGAATAGAGAGCCCAAAAATAAACCAACACCTATATGGTCCATTAATATATGACAAAAAAAAGCAAGACCATACAATAGGTAAGGACAGTCTATTCATGTGTGGTGACTGCAGTAGGAGGGGTGTGGGTAGAGGTAGAAGAGGTGATGGGTAATAAACAGTAACAGAAAAAATCACAATTAAAAAAAATGTGAAAAAGCCCCACAGTCTATTCATTAAATGCTATTGGGGAAATTTGAAGAGAGGAAGGAAGGAAGAAGGAAGGAAGGAAGGAAGGAGGAAGGAAGGAGGAAGGAAGGAAGGAAGGAAGGAAGGAAGGAACTAGACTACCTCCTTATATCATATACAAGAATAAAATCAAGATGAATTAAATCTTAAATGTAAGACTCAAAACAATAAAAATCCTAGAAGAAAACAAAGGCAGTGACATCTGACATTTCTCTTAGAAATATTTTTCCTGATACATCTCCACATCTCAGGCATGGGAAACAAAAGAAAAAAATAAACAAATGGGGCTACATCAAACTAAAAAGTTTTTGCACAGGAAAGGAAGCCATCAACAAAATGAAAAGACAACCTACTGATAGAAAGACATATTCATCAAAATTACATCCCATTGGGGCTAATATCCAAAATTAATAAAGAAATCATACAACCTAACACAAAAATAATAATCCAATGAAAAAATGGGCAGAGGACCTGAATAGACATTTCTCCAAAGATATACAGATGGTCAGTAGACATATAGAAAGATGTTCATTGTCACTAATCATCAGAGAAATGCAAATTAAAACAACAATGAGATGATACCACCTCACACCTGTCAGAATGGCTTCTGTCAATAACTCAACAAACAAGTGTTGGCAAGAATGTGGAGAAAAGGGAACCCTCAAGCCCTGTTGGTGCAAATGCAGACTGGTGCAGCCACTGTAGAAAGCAGTAGAAAATATTAAAAATGGAAATGCCTTATGACCCAGTGACTCCACTTCTTTATATATCTGAAGAAACCCAAAACATTAATTTGAAAAGGTACATGCAGCCCTTAGCTATCGCCGCATTATTTATGATAGCCAAGATAGGAAAGCAACCCAAGTGCCCATCAAAAGACTAGTTGTGATACATATATTCAGTGGAATATTAAATGGCCATAAACAAAAGAAGGTAATTGTAGCATTTGCAACAGCATGGATGAACTTAGAGGGTATTATGCTAAGTGAAATAAGTCAGAGAAAGATAAGTACCATATAATTTCACTCATATGTGGAATCTAAAGAACAAAATAAACAAAATAGAAACAGAATCAAATACAGAGAACAGAGACAGTTGCCAGAGAAAAGGGTGTTTGGGGAGCTGGATGAAAAGGTGAAAAGATTAAGAAGTACAAATTGGCAGTTACAAAACAGCCATTGGGATGTAAAGTACAACACAGGGAATATAGTCAATAATACTGAATAATATGTATGGTGATACAGGGGTACTTGAAACAGCAAAAGGGTCACTGTGCATACTGTACACCTAAAATAAAATAATACTGAGTGTAAACTGTAAATGTAAAATAAAACAAACAAAAGAAAATACTTAGAATATATATGCAAGCCAAAGTACTTGGGAGATGAACAGATGTGATGTTTGAAATTTATCTTTAGATAGTCCAACAACTCAAACAAAACACACAGATAAAGCAAATCTGGCAAAATTATTTATTCTAATACCATTAATACATACTAGTATTTACTAGTAAACACTAATTTGGGATTTGATTAATATTCCTTGCCATTTTAAAGCATTCTATTTCATAATCATCACTAATTCACAATCTGTAATCATTATCTTAGTAGACTGCAATAGTAAAGTACTATTATTTTACATTATATATTCTTATTCATTTTAATCAATATTCAAAGACTAGTGAAAATAAACACATACTCACACTGTGTTTCTTATCTATTCTTTGATTAGTCTTCCTTAATTCACCAGATGGAGTCAGAGATGGTTTAAAATAAGCAGTTCGATTTGCTGCTATGGATACTGGCTTTGGGGTCATGAGTCTCTGAACAGGGGGATACTGACAGACCACCTTATAGTTAAAAAACAAAAATCAAGGACAAACTTTCATTTTCATATATTATCAGTGATGCATAGCTAAAAATTATTTGACAATAACTAATGTGACCTAAAGACTACAAGTACTTCCCAGAGAAATATCCAGTAAATGTAAATAAATACTAAAAGAAAACTAATAGGAACAGAATCAAGTGTGCATACGTGTTTATTTACACTTACACTTACACACACACACACACACACACACACACAAATTCCAAGATGGTTTAATAGACTATTTTATTCGACTTAATGACTTTCACACAGAAGTACACACACACAAAACAAAAACTGTATTTAAAACTGTTCCACAAGCCCTGGTCAAGTAGTTAACTTCTTTACAGCATTATCCCAATATACCAAGGATACAGATTAGATCTCTCTGGTCAGGGCACATATAAGTAGCAACCAATGAATGCCTAACTAAATGAATAAAAAAATCAGTATTTTTCTCTCTTTCTTGCTCTCTGTCTATAAAAGCAATTGGGGGGAAAAATGGTTTTACAAATCTAAGCTTTTACCAGATGAATTTCAAATATATAAACTAAAATTGATTTTGCCACACTTTCCCCCTAATTACTATCTAAATTTTCTTCAGCTACAGGTATTTTTAAACTAGCAATGAAAATATTTTAATTGCTAAAAATGTGAGCAAATTTCTCTCCAAGTTAATTTTTCTCTATTGTTATTTAAAAACCAAAGGAAAATTTTTATAATTTAAGTTTAATTAAAGCCCTGTCGAGAATTCCAAACCTTAAAACGAACTGCCTTTATTATAAGTACAAGTGTTTTGTCAACAATCTTTTGCTACACTGAAACATAGTAAAAATCCTGTTGATTTAAGCTTCTACTCTGTCCGAAGATTGTAATACTATGAATACAATTCACTCACTCACTCAGCAGCAGCTGTGAAGAGCACTGATTTCCTAGGCAAAGCCCCAGTATGGTCACTAGCTCTTCCCTAAATCCTCACAAGTGTGATCCTACAACTCAATGAAACAGTTTATTTTGTAGACTGTTCTGATTACATCCATGAAAACATGAACTATAACACTGTTACCTGGCCTTTACAATTCTTAACAGTTACTTAGTGGTATTATACACAACCATAAATAAAAACTTTTATTGATGAGAACTTCTATTATGGCATTAATTTTTAGAACTTACTTATTTTATGCAATCTGATATAAAATGGGAATCTGAGAATAGTAGCTAATGGATTAATCCCATCATAGTAGCTAATAATGGAATCCTCCTTGCCCAATTAAAAATATCTAGATAATTCTAAAAATTGAAAAGTAGCACTATTCCAAGGAAAAAACTCAATTTCAGCTTTCTTCTCTACATTACAATTTCAGGCTATATGGAGGGAGGCAAAAGGGGGAAAAAAATGGGATAACTATAATAGAATGAACAATTAAAAAAAGAATTTCAGTATAAATAATTATATTTTACCAATATCTCAAATACAGCCCCCAAATTAATTTAGAGAATTATGATAATTTTAATCAATTACTTCTGAGGGAACTTGGTGTTGTAATAAATACTTCTATAAGTAAGGATCTGCAGGTCTGCTTCCCCTGAAGGACACTTCCCTAGCCACAAAAACTAACAAAAAATATCTTTTCAATCCTATCAAGCACTTTTTTTTTTTCATGGTAATTTCCAAAGCTAATTTGTAACAAAATAGAATACATTAAAAAGGGCTGCCAATATATAATCTATATTATACTGTTTTAATAGCTCTGATATCTTGGAAGAGCACTTTTGGCTAACTGATGAAAGATATGCCAAGTTGAAATTCTATTACACACTATAAATTTGACACAATGTTGGTTAATGAGGAAAGCTTTCAAAGATAACTATGTTCAGTGAGTGCTTCAGATCACTGAATTTATAATTACTAAACACTGCAAGCTCTGTTTATTCCTAATTTTATTTATAAAAGGGTAAGAGTTACTTATAAATGACTGCCAGGATGTGGAAGCTGAAAATGCCAAATAACCAAAAAACAACGACTGAGCTCTCACTACAGACAGGACGTTGTGCGAAATAAGCCCCTTCCTCACAACAGGCAACCACCTGCAACGTAAAAAATCTCATTTTTTCAAACATGTTCCCTGTGACTACCAACTACATTCAATTTGTGTACTTGCCAATTAAAAATAAAACAAAATTATTCATACTTTACAATAATAAATTCTAAAAAAGTATTACCTTTTCCCTTTTAGGCCGAAAATCTGTGGTGGAATCTATTCCACTCCTATCAAGAGGCTAAAAAAATAAAATAATATTAGAATTGATGGCAAACTTTGAAAAATAAGGTTTTTACCACCAATATATTAAAATATATCTCTTTTAAAGGTTAAAAAGTCAACTTACAGAATTCAGTGGAGAAGCAGCAACAGATGGAATTCTTTTTGCATCCTGTTAATGTTAAAATAATAACAAAGTAAGATTTTTACTAAACTCAAATTTTATTGCACTTCTGCTTTGAACTGTGATTTTAAAAATTTACCGCTAGAGGGCTCGACATCTTCTCTAAAGACTGCAATATTCGCCGAGCTGTTGAACTAGTCACACCATAGCATTCTGCATTGAGTTGCTTAGCTTTCATCTGTCTTCTGAATGGTGCCTACAAAGTAAAATTTGTATTACTTGTTGGAATGGTAAGCACTAAAGCACATATTTCAGAAAATAAAAATATTTACAAAATAGAATGGCTAGCCAAAACAAAACCGTATTAATCTAAAACTTATCTCTGGGTAGTGTCATTAGCTATATACTTAACTTTTTTTCTTTGTGTCTTTATTGAAAATCCAATTCTCTGCCTGATAAATTACTTTTACAATGGAAAAACAAATGGTATGATACAGCATGCACCACTCTAAAGTTCTCCCAGCTTTGTTAAAGATAAAAAGTAAGATATCGTAAAACATTCCAGCACTACCTTAACCTATTTACCCCTAATGTTTACATCAAAAAACACTAAATTAATGACAGTTTAATTAGCCCTGATTGGGTAGCTCAGTTGGTTAGAGCATTAGCCCAATACACCAAGGTTGCAGGTTAGATCTCCAGTCAGGACACATACCAGAAGCAAACAATGAATGCATAAAGAAGTAGAACAACAAATCGATGTTTCTCGCTTCCTCTCTCAAATCAATTCTTTAAAAAATTAAATTATAGTAAATTCCAATATAAGTAAAGAAATAAACTTATAAATAGATAAGTAACTTTTATACAAAAGCAATGTTTACAAATTCTAATAAAATTACTTCCATTTATGCATTACCACATTCTAATGACCAAATGACTATCACAAATTGAAGTAGTCTGGCAATGCTTAATATGAAAGACATATTACTACAATCAAAATATAACCCAGTTTATACAAATAGCTCATAATAACTGAAAAACAATCAAAAGAACTACTTCAAATAATGTTTCTCTATCTGATACCAAACATTCATTATATTTTCAGAGTAGCTACAATAATTTTATTAACTTGGTGCCCATTAGGATTGCTGTTCAGGCCAGAGGCTTTGGCAAACGTGAGGCAACATTAAAACCCTCAGAGAAATTATGATAATCTGTCCTGTCACTGGATTCTACTGGCCACTGGCCTCTTGGGGCCTCAATTCACTAATCAATGAAATGGAAATCAGTTAAAGAATCTTTATTGTACCTTCCAACTCTAATGCTCTTGGAAAGAAAAAGTAAACAGATTCATCCCAAATGTCAATGAAAAATTATTTAGAAGCCTGTGTTGAGGATTCAGTTTATTTGTCAGGATTCAGCATTAAAAAGTAGAGGATTCAATATAAGAAACAGAAGAGGAACTAACAGAAATATACTGACTTGAACTATTCTACAAATGGACGTGCATCATCTATCTTCTATTAATGTGCTGAACTATTTTAACTATAAAATATGGTTTCTAAAAAATAATACAATCGAGTTTAAGCTTTTAAGAAAACTCCCTGTGCTTGACTTGCAGTGGTGAATACACAAAACAGTATACAGATGATGTGTTGTAGAACTATGCACCTGAAACCTGTTTGACTCTGTTAACCAGTGTCACCCCAATAAATTTCATAAATAAGGGGGAAAAAAAAGAAACAGAACACTCCCTGTGTAACTCCAAGATCCAGTTAGCACTTTCTTAAATAACAAAATACTGCACTCCATGAACACACTCAAGTATAAGACTCATAATTACAGCCAACTATGAAAATATCCTCTAATTAGGAAAACAAGAAACTATTCTAAAGATAGGACAGTATCTTCAAATATACTTGTTTCTGTACAATTTCTATGTGTCATAGATTGCCCACATGCTTAAAAGTATTACTCTTCCATTTTTAAAATTTCCAAATCTGTAATGTAAGTATGATAACAACATATATATGAAAAACAATTTTAAGAGCCTCAAGAAAGTCCTAGGACAAAACATGGAATAGTGCAATTTGCCTTAAATTGACATAGTTTAAAAAGTTATCAATTTCCCATTATTCTCTGATGATGTATATGTTTAAATACAATTGATTCTGTACGCTGACTTATAATTTATGATTCTGCTAAACTCGTAAGTTCTGATGTGTCTGGAATTTTCTATGTATGTAAGCATATTGTCTATGAATAAAAATAAATTTATTTCTTCCTTTTCAATATATATGCCTTATGTTTCCTTTTTCTGGTGTTGGATAGGACCTGTGGTACATTTAACAGTACCAGTGATAGCAGATCCTTGTTCTTTTATAATCTTAGGAGGAAAATATTATCTTTCACCATTAGTATGACGCTAGCTGAAGATTTTCTATAAACACGATTTATCAGGCTAAGAAGGGTCCCATCTATTCCCAGGTCTGCTGAAAATTTTTGTCATGAATGGATGTTGAATTTTGTCAAGTGTGTTTTATGCACCTGTGAAAAGATGTTCATATAGTTTTTATTCTTTATTCACATGGTAAATAATATTAGTTTTCAAATGTTGAACCAACCTTGCATTTCCAGGATATACCCCACTTGATCATGATGTAATATTGTTTTTATATATGCTGGATTCAATTTGCAAATATTTGCTAAGAAGGTTTGTGTCTGTAATTCATGAGAAATACTGGTCTGTAGCTTTCTTATAATGTCTTCAGTATGTTTTATCTGGGTAATGTTGGCTTCATAAATGTGGTGGGAAGTGTTTGGTAGAATTCACCAGGGAATTTATCTGGGCCTGAAGTTTTCTTTGCTAGAATATATTTTAACTATGAATTCAACTTATTAAATAGACTACTTAGACAATTTATTCTTGACTAATACTAGGTAACATGAAATATGTAGATGTAAATCTAACAAAATATGTGCAAGGTCTGCGTGATGAGTACTACAAAACACTGATGAAAAAAATGTAAAAACTAAATAAATGATGAGACAGTGTTCATGAACTGGAAGACTCAATTTTACTTAGATGTATATTCTCCCCAAGTTGATCTTTAGACTCAATATAATCCCAAACAAAATCGCTATAGACTTTGTAGAAATTGACAGGGTGCTTCTAAAATTATGAAAATGCAAAGGAACTAGGAAAACTAAAACAAACTTGAAAAAGAACAAAGCTGGAGGGCTCCTATTAACCTGATTTCAAGACTTACTGTAAAGCTATAGTAATCAAGACAGTTTAGTGTTGGCAAAAGGATCAACACATAGATAAATGGAAAATATAAAGTCCAAAAATGGACCACAATATGGTCCACTATTTTTGACAAAGGGGTAAAGGCAATTCAATGAGAAAAGTATAGTCTTTTCAACAAATGGTACGAACTAAAGAAATTGGACATTCATATATTAAAAAAAAATGAATCCTGAGCCATACTTCATGTCATACACAAAAATTAACTCAAATGATTCACAGGCCTAAATTCAAAGCTAAAACTACAAAACTTTTACAGGAAAACATAAGAGAAAATCTCCACGACTTTGGGTCTGGCAAGAACGTGTTCTATGCTACAACAAAAGCATGAACCATAAAAGCAAAAAACCCCCAATATACTGAATATTATAAAAAAAAAAATTCTCACCCTAGCTGGTGTAGCTCAGTGGATTAAGCACAGACCTACAAGCCAAAGGGTTGCCGGTTTGATTCCCAGTCAGGGCACATGCCTTGGTTGTGGACCAGGTCCCCAGTGGGGGGCTTGTGAGGGACAGCCACACACTGATGTTTCTCTCCCTCTCTTTCTCCTTCCCTTCCCCTCTCTCTCAAAATAAATAAAATCTTTAAAAAAAGAAAAAAAGAAAAATTCTCTTCAAAAGACATTAAGATAACCAAGAGAAAAGAGTAAAAATATTTATAAAACACCCATCTAATAAAGGACTTATACACTGAATAATGAACTCTTAAAGCTCATTAATATGAAAACAACCATATTTTTAAAAAGACAAAAGATCTGAGCAGGTATTTTACCCAAGAAGATATACTGATGGCAAATAAGCACATGAAAAGATTCTCGATTTCATTAGGAAGTGCAAAAAAAAAACAACCCCACAGCAAGTGGGAGTTGCCACTACTGCCTATTATAGAATGGCTAAAATAAAAAATAAAAAACAGAAAACAGAAAGCAGAAAACTGATGGCCAACAAGTGCTGGCCAGAATGCCCTTACATTATTGGGGAAAATGCGAAGTGATACCAGCCACTCTGGAAAACAGTTTGGCAGTTCACTATAAAGTTTAATGTTTACATATCATATGATCATATGAGTCAGCAGTCAGACCTCTGGGTATTAACCAAGAGAAATGAAAATTAATGTTCACACAAAATGTTCATAGCATCTTTATTCACAACTGCCAAAAATTAGAAATAACCCAAGTGTCCTTTCACTGGTAAATGGATAAACAGACATTATACCTTAGCCAAAAAAAAAAAAAAAGTACTGATATATGCAAAAATACAGATTGATCTCATGCATTATGCTAAGTAAAACCAACAGATTCAGACTATATTACATAATTAAATTTATATGACATTCTGGAAAAAACAAAATAAAACAGATCAGTGGTTGCCAGAGGGTGGAAATAGAAAGAGTGGTTGACTATAGAGATGCACAAGGTAAAAGTTTTGGGTGATGAAAATGTTTGCTCAATATTTTGATTACAGAAGGTTATACACTATATATAGTTTGTTAAAATTCAAATGCTCTAATAAAGGTAAATTTTACTATATATAATTAATACCTCAATTTTTTTAAAAAAGGAATTAATCATCACACTTTACATAAATATGCAGACACAAATCTAACAAAATGTTTGCTTAAGTTTAAAATAATATTCATACAGTTTCTAAATGAAGAGACTATAATATACACACCTATCATTTTATCAAAGAATAACTGAACCAAAATCCTATTTGAGTATCAAGTTCTTCAACAAAACAAACAAAAAAAATTTTCAGGTTAAAAAACCTTCTCTTATTCAAACCAACCTGATATGGTGTGTTTTGTAGTTTAGGCTGTCTCACCGCACCTGCTGCCCCACCATACGTTGTTTTTCCAGGGTAAAAAGGAGAATCTCCAAGATGACTTGTTTTAAGGATTGAAGAACTCCCAAGTGACTGCACAAAAATACAATGATAGACTGTAAGCAATAAACATTCAAACCTAATGTGATTATATCAACTCCAATTAGTACTCACAGGAGAAAGTGTTCCAAAGGCAGACAAATTGAATGCTGGTTTCTTTGAGCTGGTGGCAGTGTGCTGTGAGAGTGAATGAGAACGTTCAGCCTCTGGGGACCACAGAGGGGGCACCGAAGTATTCTTTGAAACAGTTATATCTGAAGCAAAATACATAATGGATAATAATGGAATTAATTACAAGACACTAAATTTTTATAAAGAGTAAATAAAAATTAAGCCCTGGCTGGCATAGCTCAGTGGATTGAGCACGGGCTGGGAACCAAAGTGTCCCAGGTTCGATTCCCAGCCAGGGTACATTCCTGGGTTGCAGGCCATAACCCCCAGCAACCGCACATTGATGTTTCTCTGTTTCTCTCTCTCTCTCTCTCTCTCTCTCTCTCTCTCTCTCTCTCCCTCTCTCTCCCTTCCTCCCTTCCCTCTCTAAAAAAAAATAAATAAAAATAAATAAATAAAATCTTAAAAAAAAAAGAGTAAATAAAAATTAAAACGAAACCAGAAAAAAATTATCCCTTGAAATTTAATTTTACTACCAAAAGTATTTACTACCAAATGCCAAGAACACCTTTATCAGAAGCTCTTGAAGAAAATCCACTGGTAGTTGAGATGTTATCATCATCATGCTGAGAGGTAGAATCTTTAATTTCCTTCACAAGGGAAAATCCAGAACTGCTAATTGGGAATGCCGAGGATGTGGAGGGCTGACAGTGTAAAGCAGGAGATTCCAATGCGGAGAAATTCAGATGGCTCCGATGAAGAGAAGGCCTTGTTAATACATCTGGATAATTTGAAGCAGTACTAGTTGTTGAGGGTTCTTAAAAGAAAAGTATTAACATTATGAATATATAACTTAGAAAAAGCAAAACACCATCACAACAAAATGCTGTTTATACTTTAAGAAAACATACTACATAATATAATTTAATTCAAATCACTGAGCCTCCCAATTAAAATATTCTTTAGCCAAACAAGGTTTCAACTAACTTAATTTACCTAACATAGTGTCAAAATATATTTCACTCTTCACATACCAATTCCAAAAGTGCACGGTTCTTGATTTTCCTTGAAGTGATAGCAGTATAAAAAGTCATAAAATAAAATCAAAGCTGTATAATAAAATCACAAAACAAGACGGATAAAAAGGGTAAGTCTATTCCCTCTCAATACAACCACTATTAAATCTGTATATGCTCCCAGATAATTCACAGTAGTCCCCCTTTATCCAAGACCCACTGTGGATGCCTGAAAGGGCAAATAGCATTGAACCCTATATATAGTATATATTTTTTACATATATACATTTAACCGAGTTTTCATAAATTAGGTGCAGTAAAAGATTAACAACAATAGTAAGATACAATTATAACAACATATTATAATAAAAGTTATGTGAATGAGGTCATTCGTTTGAAGGGAACACCTTGCTCAAGTCTTAGTATAGGCTCAGAACTTTCTGGCACAACATGCTGTCATTACTCAGAACATGTATTCTGTTCATGTCTTTCATCCACAACCTCCATCTTAACTGAGCACTGTGGCTGTGACTTTTGAAACCACAAAAATTACACAAAAGATGTGACGGCAAAAATAGCAAAAAAATTTTTTCTTCACAATTTCTTAGATAAAAGATTCCTTCTTGCCATTAACCTTAGCAACCTCAGCATATTTTTTTTCTTTCCCTATTAAGTCAAGAGCTTTCTCTTTTTCACTTAAAGAAAGCAATTTCCAGCTTCTCTTTGGCATTATAAATACTGCTATGGTTTGGGGCCATCGATTCAGTAAAATAAGGGTTACTTGAACACAAGCACTGCTATACTGTCAATATGATAACCAGTGACTAAAGGGTGGGGAGCATGTAGCTGTTTGACAAAAGGATGATTCACATCCCAGAGAGGACAATGCAGGACAGCACGAAATTTCACCATGCTACACAAAATGGCACATGATTTTAAAGTTAGGAATTGTTTATTTTTGGAATTTTCTAATTAGTATTTTTGGACTACACATGACTACAGGTAACTGAAAGAACAGAAAGTGAACACTGGATAAGGGAAGACATGTGTATGTAAATACACAAATAAGTTTTGCCTAAACCCATGGATCATGCTTATGCATCTAGTTGTGACTTTTTTCATTTACCAGTGTAATTCTGTCTCTACAAAGCATTCCCCTCAAAGACCCCACTGTATTGTATCATACTGTTTTAATTATTTGTGATTGTTTTCCCAATACTCCATCAAACATGTATGCACTTATATCTGCACACTTTTAAGAGTATTCTTTTAGATAAATCTATGATTCCTTAAGTATGTGAGAGAAATTATTAAACAAATATTTCTAAGCAATACATTAAAAAGTCTAATTCTGTAAGTCTAAAGATAGGCTCATAAAACACCCCAAGTAGTTGGACATATCCAGGGAATCAACAGGATACAAAATTATGTGTGAAACTGCTGTCATACTGGATCAGAGTGCACACTCATTTTTGCTTATGATACTGTGATCCAAAGATTTCATGTCAAGTTATACTCCCACAAAAAGCAAATAACAAAGTACATTTCCCCCATATTGTCACTGGATATTAACCATTTCTGATTTCTGTCAACTTAATGCATCAAATGACATTATTATTTGATTTGCATTTATTTAAGAGATATTAAACATCCTCTCCATTCAATGGTAATTTATATTTCTTCTGTTAATTGCTTACTGATATGGTCTCTCTTACTAATAAGATCAATACGACCTAATTTCGTTTTGATCAGTAAGATCAGTGTAATATGATCTTAAATATTATAAATAATTTTCACTGTTGGTGGAACCCATTCATATTCCTGATTCTCTTTAAATCTTATTTTTCAATTACAACTAACATACAATATATTAGTTTCAGGTGTACACACCAGTGACTGTACATTATATAAGGTACCAAGTGGTCATCCTGATAAATTTCATACTTGACACTATATACAGTTCTTAGATTATTGACTATATTCCCCACACTGTATTTTACAACCCTATGACCATTCTGAAACAACCAATTTTTACTTCTTAATCCCTTCACCTTTTTCACCTGACGCCTCTCACACCTGGCAGCTCTCAAAATGTTCTCAGTATCTATGAGCCTATTTCTGTTCTACTTATTCATTTCCGTTTTTTAGATTCATTGTTCATATTTATGTACTTACTGCCACTTCAGTGTTCATATTTTTTATCTTTTTTTCTTCTTCTTCTTCTTAAAGAGGACCCTTTAACATCCCGTGTAATAGCAGTTTGGTGGTGATGAACTCCTTTAGCTTTTTCTTGTCTGGGAAGCTCTTTATCTGTCCTTTGATTCTAAATGATAACTTTGCTGGGTAGAGTAATCTTGGTTTTAAGTCCTTGCTTTCCATCACTTTGAATATTTCTCGCTAATCCCTTCTGGCCTACAAAGTTTCTGCTGAGAAATCAGCTGACAGTCTTATTTATGGGAGCTCCCTTGTTCACTGGGGAGGAGAGGGGAAGGGCCCTAGGAGGAGGTTGCCAAGGCAATGGTAAACAGTCTAGGATGGGACTGGCTATGAAGCTGAATGCCTCCAGTATGCATGGAATTATGGGCCAGAAGATTTAAACAGAAGGGCAAAGACTGGGGCTCTCTCTTCTCTTCCTCAAGGATGCCTGGATGAATGTGCTGTAGCTGCTTCCTTTCCCCAAAGGACAGTATGTTAAATGGGGGAAGGAACTCAAGTGCATCTTAGGACTCGACTGGCCTGGCAGAGGAGGTCAGGGTTATTTTTCTTTGTGTGTTCTGGAGCGGACTGGCTCTGAGGCAGATGCCTGTCATTCTTCCAAAATTATGTAACTTTTGTATCTTATGTTATTTTAGTTTGTAAACTAATCATATAGAAACAGGGTAATTAAAAACTAACAAAGAGAATGATAGTAGAACTCAAGAGTTAAAGATTTCATCCTTAATTGATAGGCTTAAGTGATTAAACTGGAACTCAAGAGTTCAAGATTTTAGACTTAGTTGACAGGTTCAAGTGACTAATGCATGTAGAAAGCTGTTATTCCAAAACTGTGTAGCTTTTGAATCAAGACTCCTCTCTGTCACCAAACCACTGCCTCCAGAATTCTGCCTAGAGGGTGGCAGCAGGCAGCAGGTCCCCACTTGCTCTTAGGTAGCTAACTGCCTTCTTCTGCTTTTAAGATTATCTCTTTGTGTTTAACATTATGCATTTTAATTATGATGTGTCTTCGAGTTGACCTCTTTGGGTTCATCTTGTTTGGGACTCTCTGTGCCTCTGGACTTCCCTTCACTAAGTCTGGGAAGTTTTCTGTCACAATTTTTTCAACTGGGTTTTCAACTTCTTGCTCTCTTTTTCCAGCTGAGTGAGATGGAGGGCTTCTGGAGTCCCAGACAATTCCTCAAAAAGACCTACACACAAATGCTTATGCTTGAAGTTGTTCTGGAGGCTCCTTACACCAACTTCATTGGTTTTGGATTCTTTTGTCCTTTTTGCAGTTCTGATTGGGTGTTTTTTGCTTCCTTATATTCCAGATTGCTAATTTGATTTTCAATTTCACCTACTCCACTATGGATTCCCTGTGAATTATTCTTCATTTCAATTAGTGTATCCTTCATTTCTGACTAGTTTTTTTTTTTTTGGTATGGTTTCCATATTCTTTTCTATGCTACGGAAATTCTAAGTTCATTGAGTATCCTTATAACCAGAGTTTTGAACTCTGCATCTACTAGATTGCTTGTCTCTATTTTGTTTAGTTCTTTTTCTGGAGTTTTGCTCTGTTCTTTCACTTGGTACATGTTTATTTGCCTCTTCATTTTGGCAACCTCCTTGTTTGTTTCTATGTATTGGGTTGAACTGCTATGTGTCCCAGGCTTGGTGAACTGGCCTGACATAGTAGGTGTCCTGTAGGGTCCAGTGGCAAAGGCTCCCTTATCACCCAAGCTGGACACCCTATGTTCTGCCTCTGCCCCCATATGGGATGTGTACACCCTTCTGTTGAACCTTGACTGATGTTAGCACATCATGTGAAGTTTAGCCCTAAGTCTATTAGTTATAAGGACTGGCTGCAACCACCAATCAGCTTGAACCATTAGCTGTGCAGGGGCCTACCCCATAGAGCAGGACTTACTTCAGGGGGGCTCTGGTGCTCTCAGAGTCCACCCCTTGAGTGTGTCACTTGTGGAGGTGGTTAGTTGGTGCTTTGACATGATCTGAAGCTATTCACTAGGTGTGCTGGCTCTGAGACCTCATGTGAGATACAGACCCAGATCAGCTGCCATCTCTGTGTGCTCTGCCCAGGGCCACCCAGCATCAGCTACAAAGCAATCTGCAGATGGCTGCTACTTGTGCTGGACTTGGAGGTGCCCAGGAGAGGACACACTGCAAACCAAGGCTGGCTGCTGCGTCAGGGCTTTGGAAATTTAGGAAAAGGTACAAGGCATGCTGGGGCCAGATGCTGCTTTCTTAAAGAGATTTTTGGGAAAGTCTGAAGCAAGAACCAAGACAGGCCATTCCTATGGAAAAGCCATGGGAAACAGCTTGGGTGTGCTCTCAAAAGTTGGGTGGGGTGGGGTTCTCAGGGAATCACTAGGGCAGAGCAAACAGTGATAGCTTAACCAAGCCTACCTTACAGATTCTCTGAACATAATATCCAGAAAAGCTGGCTACACAGTACACTGTAGAGTTCAGTATTAGTTGCTTACCTTTGTGATCTCATGCCTGACTGGGAGTCACATCACAAGGGTGTACTACCACACTTGCTAGCTCACAAAAAATACCTACTTAATGTGTCCTGCTTTCTCACCAT